ATTAAATCTGGCTGTATTGATTTAAAAGGGAAAAATTGAAGAAAAAAAGGACAAAACACATGATTTCAACTTTGCTATTACAAACTTCCTGTTTCTTTTTTCTTCATACTAAATAACTCTTTTGTTATGAAATTCTTTAGTTTTTTACTGGTTTTCTTAATCTATGATAAATGTTATATATCAAAGTCTGTCATACATTTAAAACTAAAAATAGAAACGTCCTCTTTGTTCATCGTGTCAGGAGTCAACGAAAAAGCAAATTATTTTGTTGTTGCATGCATGGCTAAACAACATTAAATAAACCTTGTGATACACCTTGCCTGGTAAAGGGACATTATAAAAATTCATCAAGGACTAGACTGTTTTCCTGTTCACACCCATATGTCATAAACCCACTTGAATTAAATGATTTATGGTCTTGAATACATGTAGGCTTTGTTTATTTTACAGAATTCATCTAGGTGTTAACAATTTACCATTTCACTTGCTCATGCAGTGGCAGATTCAGCAAGGTTCAAATTTTTTTTTGTTAGACTTCTGTACTGTATATCAGTAATGTTTGTTCTGATACTCCTAAACATTGAGTTCATACTTTAAAGTGCTATAGACATGCTATAAAGTGCTAAATATATGCTATGAAGTGCTAGAGACATGCAGCAGGTGGTGCATGCTATAAAGTGCTAAAGAGACTAAGGGATTTCATTTTTACTTAACATTGTATCATCCATTAAGGTACATGTATATATCATATGTACTTAACATTGTATCATCCATCAAGGTACATGTATATATCATATGTACTTAACATTGTATCCTCCATCAATGTACATGTATATATCATACATTTGTATGTACTTAACATTGTATCATCCATCAAGATACATGTATATATCCAACCAGTAACAATGTATCATCCATTGAGGTACATGTACCGGTATATACATTGTATATCCAACCAGTAACATTGTATCATCCATCAAGGTACATGTATATATCATATGTATTTAACATTGTATTATCCATCAAGATACATGTATATATCATATGTATTTAACATTGTATCATCCATCAAGGTACATGTATATATCTAACCAGTAACAATGTATCATCCATCAAGGTACATGTATATATCCAACCAGTAACAATGTATCATCCATCAACGTACATGTATATATCCAACCAGATGGTTATTTTTAGACTTGACAATTTTTATGCAGTTCTGTAAGCAGCAACTTATATAACTGGGATATAAGTTTCTCTTTGATCCAAGAGACAGCATCCAGTGCAAAATAATTTTTTAGATTTTCATTCTTTTACTGGTAAATGGTCTTAAGTTTTTGCACAAACATTGAGATCGATATTGTCTAAAGTTTAAGTTTAATATAACCTTTTTTCAAACCATTATGGGATTTACAATTCTTAAAAGAAGCTCATTAACAAGAATTAGAACCATCAAAACCAGGAATTTTTTCACTGATATTCAGTATGAACTCCCCTTAGCCATGCTTGCATTTCTAACCCTGTCCATTGGGTTAGTTTTCATCATACTGTTCATACATTTCTTCATAAATTTTCCGGAATTCAAAATTATTCCAGTTCCACAGATTCCTTGTTTGAACTAAATTTTGTTTATATTTATTTTCTTACATTTATCAGTAAGGTAAAAGGACTTAGTTTTTTGGCAGTCAGCATACTCTTTTACATTCCAGCAGCAGTTGCACCTGAGATGCAAGTTCTTTATTTTATCTCAATTTCAATTCATGCATAGACCACTAAAAACTTGGAATTTTAGTAATATTTAAATATGAATTCATTGATCTCATTTGCAAGGATATTTTGAGGCTTCTTATTATACCCCAAGTTTTTGAAGCCTTGGTTTATAGTGATAGTGAAGTCTGTCCTTTTGTCCTTCTTTCAATTTTTTATCTTCTACTACTAAACAACTTGATCTGGATGGCCGAGTGCTTTAAGTAGTACATCTACAGTGATCATTAGCCTGTCAACACTCAGGTTTTGATGGCCGAGTGGTCTAAGTAGTTCATCTACAGTGATCATTAACCTGTCATCACTCAGGTTTTGATGGCCGAGTGGTCTAAGTAGTTCATCTACAGTGAGCATTAGCCTGTCAACACTCAGGTTTTGATGGCCGAGTGGTCTAAGTAGTTCATCTACAGTGATCATAAACCTGTAAACACTCAGGTTTTTATGGCCGAGTGGTCTAAGTAGTTCATCTACAGTGATCATTAGCCTGTCAAAACTCAGGTTTTGATGGCCGAGTGGTCTAAGTAGTTCATCTACAGTGATCATTAGCCTGTCAACACTCAGGTTTTGATGGCCGAGTGGTCTAAGTAGTACATCTACAGTGATCATTAGCCTGTCAACACTCAGGTTTTGATGGCCGAGTGGTCTGAGTAGTACATCTACAGTGATCATTAGCCTGTCAACACTCAGGTTTTGATGGCTGAGTGGTCTAAGTAGTACATCTACAGTGATCATTAGCCTGTCAACACTCAGGTTTTGATGGCCGAGTGGTCTAAGTAGTACATCTACAGTGATCATTAGCCTGTCCACACTCAGGTTTTGATGGCCGAGTGGTCTGAGTAGTACATCTACAGTGATCATTAGCCTGTCAACACTCAGGTTTTGATGGCCGAGTGGTCTAAGTAGTACATCTACAGTGATCATTAGCCTGTCAACACTCAGGTTTTGATGGCCGAGTGGTCTAAGTAGTACATCTACAGTGATCATTAGCCTGTCCACACTCAGGTTTTGATGGCCGAGTGGTCTAAGTAGTTCATCTACAGTGATCATTAGCCTGTCAACACTCAGGTTTTGATGGCCGAGTGGTCTAAGTAGTTCATCTACAGTGATCATTAGCCTGTCAACACTCAGGTTTTGAGTGTGTTGACTTGGATTGACAGCTGTTTTCCTGCAGAAGGTGGTAATCTTTCTGGGTACCAAGGCTAGATCCACCAATAAACACAAGCTGCCACAAGTTGAACTATAACAATCAATCAATCAAATTGCTGTGGGTTTTTTTTTCTCATTCTTTTATAAATAACTGGGAAAATAAGATTGAATACTGAAACTGGATTTTAACTTTGCTGATACCTCTGTTATAGTCGTCTCATATATTATCGCCTACTAATGGGAAAATAGAAGTCACATGTACTTTAAAGCTAAAACTAATCAAGTTTATCATAATCTCATTTACAAACCTTTTCATCTTTTGAAGCAGTTTTGTGGTTTATATAGAGACTTATAAAAATACACTCTGTATTAATAAAGTTTACAATTATATCTTATTTTAAAATACATTTCACCAGAAAAAAACAATTAAGTTTTAGTAAATTTGAATAATTGTACAGCTTAAAGACTGGTCTTTTCTTTTGAAACAAAATAATGAAACATTCTTTAAATTATAATTCATTGAAAACAGTCACACTTGTTATTCTTATGAAATATATGAAAACAGATAATTTGAATAGAATTATCAAAAAGTATTTTCTGGATGTCATGAATTTAATAGAAAAAGTTCACAAAGTAGACACGTTATAAAATATTGTTTTTCTTTCCAATAATACAGGGATAAAAGATTTAAACTTTGTAGACATTTGATCAATGAAAAAGTATATGTTCATGTAAATCATGGCCTGATCAATTTTCATATAGACCTTGCATGATTTTACTATGTTTAGAACTGAAATTCGTGATAGGCAATACAGTAGTACTGTACATGTACCTAAACATAGATTTGATAGATGTTGGTTATGTGTCTATTGCAAATTTTTGCTCACTGAAATACAAAAGAAGTTATAGACAAGAGTTCTAAAAAACCAAATTTGAATATTTACTAGTTCCATGAAGGTGTGTTTGTTGTATGTCATGAAGGGTTATTTTTTCTGGAAAGTTATTACTTTTAACCTTTCTTCCAATGATTTTTTCTAGTTTGAAAAAATAAATACCTTTGCAATTTCAGGAGCCAAATAATGGCTCTTAGAATACATCCTCCTGCTGCAATCTTTAGACAAATGTCTTTTATCAAAGGTGTAACACTATAAAATACATATCTTAGTAATTGTCATTCATTTTACCAAGTTCGTATTTCTCAACCTAGAGACTTTAAAAGGTGAATAATCGATCTCGGACAAATCAACCAGTTGATCACGTGATCGAAATTGTACACAGCTTAACACCGGAAATTTGAAAATTGAAAAACAATAGCGCTGATATTTGATTGGTTAGCGTTGCGGTCTGCCCAATAGAACAGCGCTGAATACCGCAGCGCTAAAACGGCCTGGGGAGAACACTGCACCACATCATTGGTGCTGATTCCAAACATTACCAAATTGTACTATTGAGAGTTTGACATATGAGACATGTATATACACTTGCCTGTTTTAATTATTTGTGGACTTGTAGATTTCTATTTTGTTTGAAAGTTGTCTTAAGAAGTGAGGGTTCTGTTAATAGTCATCTTCTTATTGTTAAAACAGTCTTCTAAAAAAAATCACGGTTTCTAGCCTATTGTGGTGGTATATGTTCACAATCATAATTCTTTCATTCTGATCTTTAAGGCCACACTTAACAAATTCTTTGTGTGATGTTGCCTCACCCATGCCTTATAGGGTTGGGTAGGCAGGTAGGGATTTTTTGGGGGATCAACAACATAAGTTACATGTTTTAGACAAGAAAACTGCATTAGAATACGAAAAAAATCTTTTAAATAAATTTGAAACCATTTGTGTCATAAATTTTTTCGGGTAGGCTGCTTTTTAGGTGGGTAGGTAGGTGACATCAAATAATCTTAATTTTATTTTTGGCCTTACCCTCTGTATCCTCCAGTCCAATGCATCATAAAAGAGTGGGGAATATAGTGTATCAGGCTTGCAGATTTGATTTGATTTTGATGTACAGTTCCCTTGAATTTAGGAACTTGCTAATTCAAGGTACTGCCAAGAATTTAAAAAAAATGAAAAGTTTACTTCTTTTTTTTTCAGCAATTGAAGCATCAGAATTTGGTTAATTTAATAGAAGTATTTCGACGGAAGAAAAAGCTTCATTTAGTGTTTGAATATGTAGATCATACGGTGCTAACAGAGCTTGACAGAAATCCACGAGGGTGAGTTGTTAAGTTTGTGTAATAATTTAAAAGTGGGAAATTTGACCACAAGCTGTCAAAGTGGCAATCTTTTGCTTTGTACATTTAAGGAATATTTTGCTAATGTTAAGTATATAGTTGTATTGCAAATACTTGATTGTAAGTATCAAAATAATAGCAGTATATACATTTTGTACATTTGCCTCTTCATTTTTCCATCTGTCTTTCTAGAACAAACAGTAAATGGAATAAACATTTTTTATTAGTTCATTATTATTCATGGAATACCAATTTTTCGTTACTTTAATGGGTGTAGGTAAACCAGGAATTTTTATGTTCAAATGAATGATAAGGTTTCTATAGACTTATATACAGACTTTAAAAAAAAAAACAAAATTAAATATACTCTAAAATACCATTTTCTCTCAATCCATGAAAATAAATCAATTCACAGTAATTTACGAAAGCATTGCAAATTATACCGAAAAAGAAATGAAATGAAATTTGATTTTAATTCCTCACATTAATCATTAAAGAGTTATAACTTTTTTCAAAATGTTACACTAAGGTTGCAACTCTCTCAGCCAAATTTGACCTTAGGTGGATTTTGTTATTCTTTTAGGCCCCTTTTTTGGTCATATATATATATATATCCTTTGATATTAAGTATGTATACACCCTTGGCGTACTATATTGATATTAAGTATGTATACACCCTTGGCTTACTATATTGATATTAAGTATGTATACACCCTTGGCTTACTATATTGATATTAAGTATGTATACACCCTTGGCTTACTATATTGATATTAAGTATGTATACACCCTTGGCTTACTATATTGATATAAAGTATGTATACACCCTTGGCTTACTATATTGATATTAAGTATGTATACACCCTTGGCTTACTATATTGATATTATGTATACACCCTTGGCTTACTATATTGATATTAAGGCTTACTATATTGATATTAAGTATGTATACACCCTTGGCTTACTATATTGATATTATGTATACACCCTTGGCTTACTATATTGATATTAAGTATGTATACACCCTTGGCTTACTATATTGATATTAAGTATGTATACACCCTTGGCTTACTATATTGATATTAAGTATGTATACACCCTTGGCTTACTATATTGATATAAAGTATGTATACACCCTTGGCTTACTATATTGATATAAATATAGATTCTACCACTGCATCGAGTGTGATACGATATTTATCCACTCGAGACAGTTAAATTTTCAAATTTAAAATGCGAGGCTCGCCGAGCGTTTTAAATATTTAAAATTTAACTGTCGAGAGTGGATAAATATCGTATTACACGAGATTTGGCGGTGGAATCTGTTTCTCTAATGATTTTCAAACAATATGCAGGCAAACTTATTCCTTTTTATACGACCGCAAAAATTAAAAATTTTTTGGTTGTATATTGGTATGACGTTGGCGTCGTCGTCGTCGTCGTCCGGCGTCGTCCGAAGACACATTGGTTTTCGCACTCTAACTTTAGTTTAAGTGAATGGATCTCCATGAAATTTCACCATAAGGTTCAATACCACGAAAGGAAGGTTGGGATTGATTTTGGGGGTTATGGTACCAACAGTTAAGGAATTAGGGGCCAAAAAGGGGCCAAAAATAAGCATTTTTGTAACTTTCAGACAATAACTTGTGTGTAAGTGTATGGATCTCTCTGACATTGTACCACAAGGTTCCATATCACAAAGGGAAGGCTGTAATTGATTTTGGGGGTAATTGCCTCAAAATTTTAGGAATTAGGGGCCAAAAAAGGGGCAAAAAACAAGCATTTTTCTAGTTTCATGACAATAACTTGTGTGTAAGTGTTTGGATATTTCTGAAATTGTACTACAAGGTTCCATATCACAAAGGGAAAGCTGGAATTGAGTTTGGGGGTAATTGCCCGAAACGTTTAGGAATTGGGGGCCAAAAAGGGGCCAAAAATAAGCATTTTTCTAGTTTCCAGACAATAACTTGTGTTCAAGTGTATGGATCTCTCTGAAATTGTACTGCAAGGTACCATACCACAAAGGGAAGGCTGGGATTGAGTTTGGGGGTGATGAATCATAAGGGGGTTCAAAAAATTGGGGGGGGGGGATTTTTTTTTTTTTTTTTTTTCTTTTTATTCCTTTTTTTTTCTTTTAAAATTTTCCATTTTAAGTTGGTTATTTCTGATTTATATTTAAAAGCAAATAATAATGATATGGTAGGAGATACACACCAAACAGGATGTGTAAATTATTATATAATAAGTATTGTGCAATAGCAAGAAATTTTCAATTGCACAGTATTGCACAATAGCAAGAAATCTTTAATTGCACAGTATTGCGCAATAGCAAGAAATCTTCAATTTAACAGTATTGCGCAATAGCAAGAAATATCCAATAGCACAATATTGCGCAATAGCAAGAAATTGTCAATTGTACAGTATTGGGCAATAGCAAGAAATATTCAATTGCACAGTATTGTGCAAAAGAAGATACTTCGTATAAATTGCTTATTTCTTGATCAATTTCAATGGGGTTTTATTCTTGAATTCTTGGGGTTCTTTAATATGCTGAATCTAACCGTGTATTAAGTTTTTGGATTTTGGGCCCCGTTTTTAAATTGGTCCACATTGAGGTCCAAAGGGTCCAAAATTTAACTTTGTTTGATTTCATCAAAAATTGAATTATTGGTGTTCTTTGATATGCCGAATCTAACCGTGTATTTAGATTTTTAATTTTGGGTCCCGTTTTTTAAATTGGTCTACATTAAGGTCCAAAGGGTCCAAAATTAAACTTAGTTTGATTTTGACAAAAATTGAATTCTTAGGGTTCTTTGATATGCTGAATCTAAACATGTGTTTAGATTTTTGATTATGGGCCCAGTTTTCAAGTTGGTCCAAGTTGGGGTCCAAAATTAAACTTTGTTTGATTTCAACAAAAATTGAATTTTTGGGGTTCTTTGATATGCTGAATCTAAACATGTGTTTAGATTTTTGATTATGGGACCAGTTTTCAAGTTGGTCCAAGTTGGGGTCCAAAATTAAACTTTGTTTGATTTCAACAAAAATTGAATATATGGGGTTCTTTGATATGCTGAATCTAAACATGTATTTAGATTTTAGATTTTTGGCCCAGTTTTCAAGTTGGTCCAAATTGGGGTCCAAAATTAAACTTTGTTTGATTTCAACAAAAATTGAATATATGGGGTTCTTTGATATGCTGAATCTAAACATGTATTTAGATTTTAGATTTTTGGCCCAGTTTTCAAGTTGGTCCAAATTGGGGTCCAAAATTAAACTTTGTTTGATTTCAACAAAAATTGAATATATGGGGTTCTTTGATATGCTGAATCTTACCATGTATTTAGATTTTTTATTTGTGGGCCCGCTATCAAATTGGTTCATATTGAGATCGAAAGGGTCCAAAATTAAACTTTGTTTGATTTCATCAAAAATTGAATTATTGGGGTTCTTTGATATGCCAAATCTAATTGTGTTTTTAGAATTTTAATTTTGGGTCCCGTTTTTTAAATTTGTCTACATTAAGGTCCAAAGGGTCCAAAATTAAACTTAGTTTGATTTTAACAAAAATTGAATTCTTCGGGTACTTTGATATGCTGAATCTAAACATGTGTTTAGATTTTTGATTATGGGACCAGTTTTCAAGTTTGTCCAAGTTGGGGTCCAAAATTAAACTTTGTTTGATTTCAACAAAAATTGAATATATGGGGTTCTTTGATATGCTGAATCTAACCATGTATTTTGATTTTGGACATTGTACCATAATAGGTAAATTAAAAAAATTGAAGTTCTTAGACCACATTCTTTCTGTGTCAGAAACCTATGCTGTGTCAAATATTTAATCACAATCCAAATTCAGAGCTGTATCAAGCTTGAATGTTGTGTCCATACTTGCCCCAACTGTTCAGGGTTCGACCTCTGCGGTCGTATCAAGCTGCGCCCAGCGAAGCATTTTATTTTTGAATGATCTGCAAAAAGATGTGTTCTTTCTATGTGACGTCATCAGGCATGGTCGCCTTTTTTCATGCCGTCACAATAGGAAATTCAGAGGAAAGCAAGAAAATTCGACGTCATAATCGGATTTTAACCAATGAAGAACTGAGATCAAACGAACCACACGTTGATTAAATTTTTTTTATACAATGGGTGCAGAAAGGGATAAATTGACGAAGAATTAGAGAAAGTATGTATACACCCTTGGCTTACTAAATTGATATAAAGTATGTATACACCCTTGGCTTACTATATTGATATAAAGTATGTATACACCCTTGGCTTACTATATTGATATAAAGTATGTATACACCCTTGGCTTACTAAATTGATATAAAGTATGTATACACCCTTGGCTTACTATATTGATATAAAGTATGTATACACCCTTGGCTTACTATATTGATATAAAGTATGTATACACCCTTGGCTTACTATATTGATATAAAGTATGTATACACCCTTGGCTTACTATATTGATATTATGTATACACCCCTTGGCTTACTATATTGATATAAAGTATGTATACACCCTTGGCTTACTATATTGATATAAAGTATGTATACACCCTTGGCATATTGATATAAAGTATGTATACACCCTTGGCTTACTATATTGATATAAAGTATGTATACACCCTTGGCTTACTATATTGATGTTAAGTATGTATACACCCTTGGCTTACTATATTGATATTAAGTATGTATACACCCTTGGCTTACGAAGTTTAGGGTTTGATCATTCCTGATGAAAGTAAATCCAGCATTTTGAAAGCACAAAATTTATTAAAATTAAATCTATTTTCATTTTATTTCCTGAATGGGTTTCAAAATGGACAGCCTTTTTATGCCCTCGCCGTAGCGGAGGGGGCATTAAGTTTTACCCTTGTCCATCTGTACGTACGTCCCAAAATTGGTTTCCGTTCTCTAACTTGAGTTTTCCTCAACCAAATGCTATGAAACTTATACACAATGCTTATTACCACAAAACACAGATCAAGTTTGAATTTTGGTGTCGTCACTTTAACCGTTCTAGTTAGTTAAAATTTTGCTCAAATGATTGCAAATTACTTAATTTTATGTAACATCTATATTTTCTCAGCTTGCACAGTATTTGGACCGATCTCACACCCATATCAGCCTATGGGGAAATCCTTTTTATTTTTAAATCAGGTTTAAGCATATTTCATGTTCATGTATGCATTGGATACATGTATACCTCTTCCAAATGTGTCTTAGATAAGTTTTTATTCAGGCTTTGTTTTAGATCATTGAAAATTAATAATTCACAAAATTCAAAAGTAAATTGAAGGAAAACATGAATAGTAATAAAAGTTTAATCTTAAACAGAATTATAGAAATAATTGATTAATTCAAAGATAAAAATTATATCTGTTATAATTTGTAGTGATTTGAAATTTCTGAAAATATTGTTCAATATACCAAATTATTTCAGTTGAAAATGCTTCAACATTCAAAGAGCAGTTGAACAGAATTTGTTTAATTTTCATAACAGTCACATATGAAAGTAAAAAGTTTTATAAAATTAATTTAAATTGTCAAAACATGTCTGGTATCTCTTTTATATGAAATGATTTGCCTTGCTATTGGCGAACATAGTTTCTCCATAGATGTATAAACTGTAGATCATAGATGTATAAACTGTAGATCATAGATGTATAAATCCACATCTATGGTTTCTCAGACCACTCAATTGTTTTACACTAAATGATTGTCTGTGTATACGTAATGCATAGATTACTTGTTAGAGTAACCAACTCTCTATAGCCTCATATTTTTGTTCATAATTTATAAAATATTTTTTTTCAGAGTTCCGGAACATTTTACCAAAAAGATAATATACCAAACTATACAAGCTATAAAGTTTTGTCATCAACATAATGTAAGTATGACACTTGAATATTGAAATATAATGTTTTATGATGATATTAATATAAAAAGGATCGTAACCAAGGAAGATTAGCACAAGTAATTTGAAGTAAAGTATAGTTTGTATATTTAATTTATTTGCTGAGACTCAAATCATCAAATTTATAGCCATAAAACTTAAAATTGTAAAAAAATATCAATTGCAAGCCAAGGCCAATATATCTCGGCATTCTTCAGGAACAATTGCTCCTTCATAAATAGTTCTGTCTTTCATACTTGACAAAGAAATGTGACTTTTTATAACTTCAAACCATAATTTATGGAATAAAACCATTGTAGGCTCTTTTGTGGTTGTTAAGTTTCTCAACATTAAATGTAAATTGTAATGAAATAACAGAAATTGATTGTGAAGAGCTGTAATTGGGTGTCTCCAGGAAATGTGTGACTCTTAATGGCACAGATTATACCTTGTAATGCTGTACTTATAGTGTTATAGCTACAATGTTTACTCAAATCTTATCACCACAAATTTTCTCTTTAAAAATTCTAATTTTATTGGATGATTTATCAACAACTAGACTTTACTAGAGAAATCATTTCATTGATAATACATTGAAAAATTAAAAAATCCATGATATTCTGTTCGTATGTAATATCTAGATAAGTGGACACAGGTCTGGTATTTGCTTATTCTTCCTGAGAAATACAGAAGTTGGTCTGTGACATGACAGTTGTAAAACAGTTAAAAATGCTAGTCATCCTAGTATCATATCTACTAATATCAAGTGAAAATGTAACATGCACAATTTGTATTAATGTATATACATTTTAAGTCAGTTATTACAGTTTTAAAGATTTTGAAGAAATTTGTTTTCTGATAAAAGAAAGAACATCAATCCAAATTAATTTTAATATAATAGAGAGTTGTTCTTAAAAAATGCCCATGTAATTATATTTCATCTGTTTATTATGTTATGATCATGTATAAATTGATAGCCAACAGTATAACAAGCTTGTTGTGTGTTAAACAGGATCTTACTTGTTATATGACTGAATAAGAAATATCATGTCATAGCCATATTAGGTGTATAATTTGATGATAATAATGGATATGATTTGAAATTGATAGTAATTTATTTGTTGTTCAACATTTCTTTGATATTATCAAATATAGTGAACAAATTTCAATCCAATTTTAACTTCAAATTACTAAGAAGTTGATAGGTGGTTGATCAATGCAAAAATATGATGTTGCTGAAATATGATACATGTGTATTTTATCATTAAAGATGAAAAGCTTTGGCTGTTTTTTTTAAAACCTTGTTTTCATGAATTTTCTCGTGAGAAATTCCAATTTAAAGGTGTGTTATGTAACAACATTTATTAAAGATATAAGAAACCTCTTTAACATTTATAACGTGTTGTTTTCGTTTTTTACAGTCTTAAACGAATACAAATTAAATTTAAATATTTGAATCAAAGTAGTTCATCAGACTATAAAAGTTATTAGAGCAAACTTTTGTGCATAACTAACTAGCAGGCAATCTGAAATGATACTTACAAAAAGATCAAAATGATGTAATATTTATTGATATATTTGTCACAATGGCATAGTGTACACTTAATATTGTTCAATGGCTGCTTTAATGTTTAATTAGAAAAAAAACACAATCTTTTACGGGCCTTTTATAGCTGACTGTGCGGTATGGGCTTTGCTCATTGTTGAAGGCCGTACAGTGACCTATAGTTGTTAAATTCTGTATCATTTGGTCTCTTGTGGAGAGTTGTCTCATTGGCAATCATACCACATATTCTTTTTTTTATATTTTATGTTGTTATGGAATTCTTTATTTAATGATAGCTCTTGTCGGAACTATAAAGTTACATGTTTGACCTTACTTACTGTTTCACTAGGGTCTCGACTCACGATTTGGTGGCATTGATGACTGAGTGGTCTATGTAGTTAGGTTGTGAGTTCGAATCCAGCACATGGTAGGTGTGCTAGACCCCAATCTTAATTAACTAGGATTGTCAGTTTTCCAACGGAAAAGTCAGCGGTTCTCTCCGGGCATTCTGGCTTCCTCCACCTGTACAAACTGATCGCCATGAAATAGCATAAGAGTGCTGAAAGTGGGGTAATACACCAATCAATCAATCATTATAAATCTTATTTCTTGGATGTTGACAAAGGTCAAGCTAAATTTTCAAGTTAAAGTATGTTTCTTTATGACTGTCATGATAGGTCAACAATATTCAGTAAGTGGATTAGCTAGGGAATTATATCCCTGTCTGACTTATGTCATATGACCTTGTTACTGTACGCAAAAGGTCAAAGATATTTGGTCTATTGATCTGTGACTTGTAAGGAGTATATATCTCATATTGACATTAATTTCACACTACAGTGATCAGTTCAAGTTAGCAAGAAGATTCCTGTTCCTCAACTATACATGATAGGTGGACATGTTTGGTATATGGAAAGGATAGGAGAATATGTTTCTGTTTGACATATGTTGACATGTTTGGTATATGGAAAGGATAGGAGAATATGTTTCTGTTTGACATATGTTGACATGTTTGGTATATGGAAAGGATAGGAGAATATGTTTCTGTTTGACATTTGTTGACATGTTTGGTATATGGAAAGGATAGGAGAATATGTTTGACATATGTCTTTTGCTTTTGACCTTAGTTTCAGGCTTCCGTGATATATGTGTGTTGCATGATACAAAATTATGAATGGTGAATTTTAGAATAACGCATTGAAATAAATACTGCATGCTTATTTTTTGGGGGTTTTATTTTTTAAAGAAATTTGAATTCTGTTTAGACAAATTCAACTGCACAATGAAGTTACTGTATTTATTAGGAAATTTTTTTGTGTCTAATTTTTCTCTATTTTTGGGGAAGACAATTTATTGCCAAATTTACCCCAAGCAAACATCCATCTGTTCTTTTAAATGAATTGTACAAAGCCATTAAAAGAGAATAGCGAACACAATGAAGATTCAACTTCCACATCTAATTCCCAAACCGTGAATAAAACCTGATACTAATTTATTTGCGGATCTTTTTTTGTCATTTAATTTTCATTTTACATGAATTGACAGGCATTCACAACACATATATTTATCTATAGTGGCACAAAATTGGGTATCTGTCACGAGAAAAGGAAATAAAATGAAACAAAGAAAACAAAATGTTGAACACCTAAACCATTTTTTTCATTAAAGAAACCAAATAGGGAGCAATAAAATATTGATTTCTAATCAATAAAGAGCTTTGTTCTATGTCACTATGGTAAAATTTCTTTATTTCAGTGTATCCACAGAGATGTAAAGCCAGAAAATATACTGATATCTAGACAAGGCACAGTTAAATTATGTGATTTTGGATTTGCAAGAGTCTTAAGTAAGTATGATATTATTGAACAGAACTAGTTTATACAACATTTTCATGTCCTAGGTCAGAAATCTCATCTGTGGTTGTTTGCCTTTCCATAATGTTTTTTTATGTTTAGAGAATTTAGTGTCAGTGGGAGAAATTATTTTAGTTTTATTTACAACTTATTTAGATGTGGGACGATCAAGAGCTTGACAAGTTTTATAGACATCTGTCTATGTTGATATCTAAATGTCTTTTAGTTATGGTTGCTGTCTATGAAGTATATCTTGCATCTTAAAGATTTAGAAAGACTTACTGCACAGGTTCTTTTATAATACATGAACTAGTTTTTAAACACTTCATAGAGGTCTATGAAGTTCTATAATCTTATTATACCCCACACAAATTTTTTGCGAAGGGTATAATGTTTTTGACCCGTCTGTCCTGTCCGTCTGTCCGTCAGTCCTGTTTCTTGTCATCGCAACTCCTCTCAAACCACACCACAGAATTTCTTGAAACTTTGTAGATAATAAGGACATACTATGTAGATGTGCATATCGACAGGAAATTACGATTCAATTTTTTTTCTAGGAGTTGCGCCCCTTTGAACTTATTTGCTTTAATGTACTACTGCAACAGTTTGTCATTGCAACTCCTCTGAAACCACACAACAGAATTTCATGAAACTTTGTAGATAATAAGGACATACTATGTAGATGTGCATATCGACAGGAAATTACGATTCAATTTTTTTTTTAGGAGTTACGCCCCTTTGAACTTATTTGCGTCAATGTACTTCTGCAACAGTTTGTCATCGCAACTCCTCTGAAACCACACAACAGAATTTCATGAAACTTTGTAGATAATAAGGACATACTATGTAGATGTGCATATTGACAGGAAATTATGATTCAATTTTTTTTTCTTACACTTATTTTATTTCTCCAATGACAATGTGGGGACTAGGGGTATGTGAGCACGCTCACTAAGGTTCTTTAATTAATTACCCCTCCACTTCAAAAGAAAAGGGTATATTTGATTACTGACACAGGATTTAAAAGTTAATGAATATAACAGTTTTTTAATCCATTATCAGCAATTCTGGCAGCTATAAAGGGGATATTTGAATATAATCGTACAATGATGAGAATCTGAATCTATTTCACAGGGGTCCTCCCAACTGATCTAGTAGGTAAGATCTGAACTCACAATTTCCAATAGGGACTTTTTATTTTTTTTTAAATATGGGCTGACATAATGGCGAGACTCGCATTTATAAGAATATAAAGCCCTTACAGAAAATTTATTGCAATCAATTTTATTAAAACAATTAAATCATTTTTTCTATATAATTTATTATGATTAGTTAAATAGTGATAACATATTCTTTTCCTTTCAAATTTTGCCTTCCCACTTTCTGCCTCTTTTTAAAAAAATGACAAAAAACCCAGGAATTCAGAATGTGTGATGGGATCAGAGATATACTTTTTCTTTTGATCTTGTGTCTTGATTACAAATAAATTGAATAAAAGGACCATAAAATGTGTTCAGATAAAAACGTAGACTGTTTTCATTTTAGAGACATTATTTCATAATTGTATATTGATCGAGTTGCTTATCAGAAATTAAAACCTGTATGTAAAGTTGTTAATTGTGCATAAAATGCTTTGGTGAGTTTGGTCTAATACAAAAATAAACAAAAGGTTGTCCTTGATAGTTTTCCTTTGATAAAAAATAACATACATCATTGGAGGTGCACTAAGTCAACAAAGAAAGACTGTCGTTTTTAAAGTTCTCCTCTTTGATGTCATTGTCTTCTGTCTATTGTGTGAAAGAACAGAATTTTATAACGACGTCCATTTAAAAAAACTTGTTTTATCTGTCATGTCTGTGATATTTATTTAAACTTGGGTAAACAAAACGACAGATTGTTATAGATCTTGTTTTATCTTATGACAACAATCTTTGTTCAAAGAATTTTGTATGAAATTGTTAAGAATTTTTTTGGATAAAATAATGTACATTGAAGTGACCTTTTAAAGTTGGTTTATATATATATATATATATATATATATATATATATATATATATATGCCTAAAGTTACATTCTTAGGCATTTATTTCAGTAATGAAAAAGAAGGATAGTCTGTATTAGTTACACACAAAATTCCTACAGTGCTTTTATTGCTGCTCTTCATCTTAAAATCACAAGCCTTTAACATTTAGCAGAGGATCACACCTCTTAGGATTAGGATTTCCTCTAGTTCAGTTTCCAGTGAAATTCTTTGGTAGATGTTCATAGCTCTATGTATGTGTATTGAAGAACAATGATGTGAGACAATATGACCAATTGCAAACTAGAACAGGCAAAGATATTAAACACAAACAAAAAGATGAAAAGTTGAAAAAACATAAATGAGACAGCAATCCAGCATCAGAAATATACAACATTTAAATTTCAACATATGGTCTTCAGCAATATACAGTGTCTACATACATGTATGTCTGTATATGTGTTACTGTCACACAATGTGTTTTTGTATTGCCTAGATGAAGTTGCAAAATCGAGACAGGTGTGCTCTATGGTAGGTCAATGATATTTGGTATGCAGTTGTATTAGCATTGACACACCTCATTGCCTTTGAGATTATTTGACCTCTCCCCCTCTGTTATGGTCTATTGACTAAGTTTTATTTCCTTAGTTACATGTTTAAGTTTGTGATTAGGTCAGTTTAAGGAGAACCACTAAAAGTAAATCATTGATATTATTTGGTATGCAGTTCTATTAACATTGGAATATCTAATTTCCATGGAGATTATTTTGCCCTGCACCTAGCTCCTGTCCTTTCAGTCATGGTTCATTAACTGAATGTTGTGTACAGTTAACATGTTCAAGATTTTCCATTTTAATTTCAAAATTTGCAGTATACATCAAATTACATACATATTTCTTTGTCAACAGTTGGTGTGTGTCAGAAATGACATAAGAATTTTTAAGTAGACCATTTAAGCAAAGTTTGCATATATTTTTTTTTATTATTATTATTATTATTATTATTATTATTATTATTATTATTATTATTATTATTATTATTGTGAGTCTTACAAAAGAATAAGTTGCATGAGTTTAAAAAAGTTTACCGGGTAGTTGAAATGTTCAGTAAATAAATAAAAAGTTTTTAATAGTGATACAGTAAATTGCTATAGATAATTGTTGAAGGAAAGGGAGGGGTGTGTCTTATTTATGTTTTAGTGATACAGTAAATTGCTATAGATAATTGCTGAAGGAAAGGGAGGGGTGGGTCAATTGCTATAGATAATTGTTGAAGGAAAAGGAGGGGTGTGTCTTATTTATGTTTTAGTGATACAGTAAATTGCTATAGATAATTGTTGAAGGAAAAGGAGGGGTGTGTCTTATTTATGTTTTAGAAGAGCAAGGGTCATTTGAACATCAAGTTGGATTAAAAGTCTTCTATTAATCATATAATTCAAGAGAGTCTTTAACTTTTCATCTGTGATTTACAGATATATCAAAATTACAATTTACACAAATGCAGTTACAGTAAAAGAGTGAAGTATGCCAAAATAAATAGAAATTTGAATTTGATTTTTGAACTATCATATATTTAAATTATGAAGATAAAGTTCTTTAAAAAATGGGCCTCAATTTACAGTATATATAAATATATAGATTCTACCACAGTACGGAGTATGGTAGGATATTTTTCTGCTGAAGACAGTAAATTGTAAAATTAAGCTTGCCAAGCATTGAAGAAATTTAAAAAGGAACTGTCTTGAGATATATCTTTTCACACAATATATCTTAGTGGGAATATTTTTCTCAAATCTTTTTAAGATGACATGTAGACAAAAGCTGTTATCAATGATGTGCTAAAAAATTGTTCATTCTCTATCCTTTAGTTGTGATGTCAGGAAGGCAAAAAAATATGATATCATTATTATTATTGATTACTTGCATTTTGGTTCACCAGAACATAATTAAATATTACATGTACTTTTTGTACTTATCAATATTCCACACATACATCCATCATTCAAACTAGCTATAAAGTGATTTCAACATGGAAATGAAAACATAACTGGGAAAGCATTCAATCTGAATAAAAAGAAAGATATTTTACTCTGTAATATGATTATTGTGCTGTCATATGTTTGTTGGCTTGAAAAGCTGAGCTAAATTTATTTTGGCAGAGTACATCATCTGACTTTTTTATTTGAACAATTTTTGAAATAATAATTATATCATCCACTAGAATAAGTGTGTACAATAGTCTGATATTTTTTGCAGCTGGTCCTGGTGATGAATACACAGATTATGTAGCTACAAGATGGTACAGGGCACCAGAACTATTAGTAGGAGACACACAGTATGGACCTCCTGTAGACATTTGGGCCATTGGCTGTGTTTTTGCCGAATGTCTTACAGGCCAGGCTTTATGGCCTGGTAAATCAGATGTTGATCAGTTGTATCTGATCAGAAAAACCTTAGGTAATGCTTTTCAATTGATATGCAATTCAGCTATATTTATGAAAGCAACTTTGATCAAGTGTTCATATGATTTATGATATAATCTTGTAAAAAGAATTTGAAGAGCAGTCCACATAAAATTGATTTGTCATTTAGTAAAAGCTTATTATACCCCATGCAACGAGTTGCGGAGGGTATAATGTTTTTGACCCGTCCGTCCGTCAGTCTGTCAGTCCTGTTTCTTGTCATCGCAACTCCTCTCAAACCACACAACAGAATTTCACGAAACCTTTTTAGATAATAAGGACATACTATGTAGTTGTGCATATCGACAGGAAATTGCGATTCATTTTTTTTTTCTAGGAGTTACGCCCCTTTGAACTTATTTACTTTAATGTACTACTGCAACAGTTTGTCATCGCAACTCCTCTGAAACCACACAACAGAATTTCATGAAACTTTGTAGATAATAAGGTCATACTATGTAGATGTGCATATCGACAGGAAATTATGATTCAATATTTTTTCTAGGAGTTACGCTCCTTTGAACTTATTTGCTTCAATGTCTTCTGCAACAGTTTTTCATCGCAACTCCTCTGAAACCACACAACATAATTTCATGAAACTTTGTAGATAATAAGGACATACTATGTAGATGTGCATATTGACAGGAAATTATGATTCAATTTTTTTTTCTTACACATATTTTATTTCTCCAATGACAATGTGAGGACGTGGGGTATGTGAGCGCGCTCACTAAGGTTCTTTAATATCTAAATGGATTAAAATTAAGAAATATTTTCCACTGCCTGAAGGTGCCTGAAAGAATTCCAATTTTTTGTTTACCCTTTCCTATCATAGAGTAACCTTGTTCTATCCACTACAGTTAAATATGTTGGATATTGAAGTGCTTCTAGACCAAATTTTTGAAAATTTAACAAAATGTAATTGACTTTAAGAATACACTCAATTATTTATTGGTGTATTCCTCATTTACAATTCTTCAAGTGTGATATTCAAGAAACATTCATGTTGGCTTTATGTTTTCAATTGTTAATGAAAAGGACAAGATTCGTTTTGGCTGTGCTGATAAGTATCTGCATAAGTATAGTGACAGTGACCACTAGTGCTATGAGAGAGACAGGTTTTCAATACAAGGTTTATTTTTTAGGTGACTTGTTACCTCGACACCAAGAGATTTTCTCAAATAACAGTTTCTTCAGAGGTCTAACTATACCTGAACCAGACAGGGTGGTATGTATATGTGTCTTAGGAAACATGCTCAGCTCATTTAGCTATTGCCTATTTTATTGTTCTATGAGATTTTCTATTATCAATATTTTTAGATTACATGGTAGGCTATGTGTATTAGTGAATAAGTGTATAGTTTAGTCACACATTGGATTTTTATTTCGTCTTAAGTTTAAAATTTTACAATATTTGAATTCTTTGATTAGTTATTCTTTTTACTATATTAAATTCAAAATAAAATAAATAAAGTAGTAAATGTGATGAACTACATCATTTTCACTTTGTTTTGATTTAAAGTCATTGTTAATGTCTTGGAAATACCTATGGTTGTATGACATCAGAGAAATGAAATCACAGGATTTATTTCACATGTAACATTATTGGATTTTATTTAACTAAGAATTTTTTTTTTTATTGTAATCAATGTATCTATTTAGTGGAAATGTATATGTGTTCAACACTTACCACTTTCATATATATATTTTATAGGTTCCTCTGGAAGAAAGATTTCCTAACATATCATCAAATGCCTTGCATTTTATGAAGGTAATATAGGTTCACAATAATTTTAGTCATCAGGATGTTTGAATGAAGTGTATACATGAGAAGCAACTTTTTATAAAGTCCATGTTGGCAAAATTTTGAAATAAATAAATGATTATTGTTTTCTAAATAGAATTTCTTAACTATTTACATTTTTCATTGGATAATGAGAAAAATACTCCCTATCTGTGTAAGTGATAATTTGAATATTTACTAGGTTGTGTTTAAATTTATTGATTACTGCATTAATTTATCAGTTCATATATAAATTCATTTTATATTTAAATATTTTACTTCATATTTTCGGTGACATACCACCAGTTTAAAAACATGATAAATTTTACCAAATTTTTTCAATTATTGACAGCTGTCTAAATTTTTCACATAAAGTTCTAACTTCATGGAACCATACATATCCTGAATTGTACATATATCACCTTTCTGTGTTCCAATTTTCAACTGATGTTTAAATCTGTACTGACAGATATTCGCTTGAAGTCACCTACTACTTCAAAAACACTTGGGTTTTCTGAAAACCCTTAATAGATATACTAAGGAGCACATCTCCCCTTAAATAATAATTCAAAATCATGGACAAGTAAATTTGTGCTCAAAATGGTCCGAATATATTTCTATTTCAGCAAAAGTTTATTTATGCAAAAATATTGGTTTGTTTTATTAAACAAAATCACATTGACTTTGTTTTCTCAGTGTAGGTATCTTGTTCTTAATGTAGATTGGTTGAATCGGTGGTTTGACACCTGAATTTCTTGTGATTTTAAATGAAAATGTCAATATTTTATGACGCTATTGCATATATTATCATATACATATATAAAACTTAAAATATTTATTTGCAAGATATAAAAAAGCATTAAATACATTAAATTTTATCCTCAGTGCTGTTTACAAATGGATCCAACTCTTCGTTGGAATTGTCAACAGTTACTTGAACATCCATATATGGATGCCAACAGGGATGCCCTAGATCCACCAAATAGACCAAATCGTAAGAAGAACCCATCACGCACGAGTACACACGTAAGTGAAACGGTAAGATGCCACGCCCATGCGGTAAGATTGTGTGCTGATGCTTGGTTTTAACAGCAGTGCACTGAGTGGCATTACCATTATTTTATATTTCTCACATACAATTTTTCATTATATATTCTCTATATTTCACACTTTTACTTTTTAATAGACAACAGAAGCTATTTTCCATTTATGACCTACTGAAAGAAATTAAGCTGAAATTCATTATTTTGCACTTGGAATTTCTCAGCCATTGATTTCAATTGCATGGAAATGTGTACTACATGTAACAGTTGAATTCTTCCATAAGATTATTTGTACATTTTGGGATATTTAAATGTGGTAGAATATGATCTCTGAATAAGATCTACTTTTCTCTCCACTGTCTACAGATATAATGTTGTCTAGAAAAAAGATTGCCATATATGTGTTGATGTATTACACTGTTTTTTGTTTGTTGTTGTTTTTTTCTGTACAACACAGTATTCTGTGACAAAATTCTGCTCTTTTTTTTAAACTGTATTTAGTAAGAATGAAATATGTCCATTGGAAAAGTAAGCAAATGAATAGAAAATAAATAAAAAATCTTTTGACTTCAACTGACAATGAACCTGGAATTTCTTAGTCAGATCAATAACTTCTATAAAATGGATGGCTAATTATTAATTAAAAATAAAAAGATAAAAAAAAAAATAGGATCTACCTTTATTAAAAAAACATAGAATTAGCAATAAGCCATTGCTGAATTTTAATTCTGTGAGAATATAAGTTTGTCCAAGCTTTGCCCCAAAAACAACTCCTGTTCTTGAAATCTCTTTTGTAATACAATATAATAATATATAGACAGAAATATTATTGATACGATACAATGATTTCTTATTTTATTCTGACCATAAGCCAAGACTTGACTTTGTTTTATCACATACTGAACACTTCACTTTTCACAAACTAAGAGTGCATCTTGTGTGTTTATTCTATATTGACATATATTTTGTGCTCAATTAATTATTTTGTTGAATCTGAAATTAAAATAATGGGTTTCTGTAGAAAATATATTTGCGATATTATTAAAGTGTTAATGTAATAAAAATGAAATTGATTTTATATGTGTTCAGATTTTCCAATAAATTTGACAGAAGGATCAGAAATGCATGGTATATTCCTGCCATGAATTTTTTTTTTTTCTAATGCTGAAATCATGTGAGTTTATGAGAAAAAAACCCACCTTAAAAGTGAAAAAAAACACTGTTTAATGTGTTTAACACCTATTAGAGTCAACAAATGCTGAAAAGAAAGTACATTTGTATATTTAAAGAAAAAAACAACAGAAAAGAATCCAACTCATGTTAAATAACATTGATAATGGTTTGGTTTTGCAACAAGGAAAAACGAAATTGCTACAAAAAATTGAAATGCTCAATTATACTTTATAACCAGTTCTGATATTGTATCCTTACATGTATTTTTTTCTTTCTTTTTTCAGACAAACTATCATCATTTATATCAACAACTGCCTCAGCTGCACCATAACACAATGAACTCTACCTCATCACCCACACCTACATTGAACCCTCCCAATAAGTCCTACTTTCAAGGGTCAAAGAAACCAAAGCCACATTATAACGACCATCACCTCCCGAACATCTGACTCCTCGGTCAAGGGGTTAGGAGGTTTGATGGTAATTGACCACTATCATCACTTGACTGACCCTGGAGGCCATTTTCTACATGGGAGCATCAGACATCTGGTGTGCTGCACGCCAGTTTGAACTGCTTGGTTTTTGACTGTCCTGGAGCGTTACATTGTGACAGAAGATTTATTGACGTTATGTTGTAATTAAATGGGAGATGTTGTTGTGATTTGGTGGTTACTCATGGTTTCTATATTTCAGGAAAAATAGTGTTGATTTTATTTTCCAAAGAAGAAAATTTTCTAAGATGTCTTTTAATCACAGAAATATGTTAGGTAAAAAAGTTAATATATTTTAAAAGTTATGAGTTTAATTTCAATTTTTTTCAATTGCTAATTTTGATTTTACAAAACAGGTAGAGGTTATATTCAGGCATCTTTAATATTGGCCATTTATTAAATCTTATAATGGATGTATTCATTTTTAAGAAGAAAAAATCATGAAAGCATGAGTTTCCACCAAAAATATGGTAATGTAAAATTTCAGGACTAGTCTCTATTGCTAGGCAACCACCATATATGTCAACAATTAATTGTAGTAATTAGGTATGTAATAATTGGTTTAGATGGTAGTTATTTTAGAGCAGAAATTGTAATAGATTGTGTAAAAGGGAAAGTGTATATGATATCTTATGTTGTGAAAGGTCTTAACACTATAACTACTACTATTTACCAAAAAAAAAGAAGAAAGAAATGGAAAATCCCATGTAAAATTTGGAACTAGGTTACTTGTCAAGTCATTTACCTTCTCTATCAAGAGGATCATTAAGGGTTTATCTGTAGATGTGTCACTACTTTCAATCGGATTTATGAATCGTGTGTAGATGTAAAAATATTTACAAAGAAACAAATGAAAATATACATGACATACTATATTGATCAGAAAACCCTTTAATCATTCTCTTTTTCCATTAAAATTATATCAGAAATGTGTTTTGTAAAATATTAATGTGTGATAAAAAAAAAAACATTCATCCAAATTCACATAATTGTAAATTGCACACACAAATATATTCAGGAATTTGATAATAAAGTATGTTTCTTTTAAGGTTTTGTTTTGGAATTTTTTATAAAGGAGTTTGTAATGAAATCAGTGCTAGCCTTACCTATTATTGTCTGTACTAATTGTGTATGTTTGTGATTGTGAAAATGTTTGTTTGTTGTTTGGTTTTGTCGATGTACCATAAAAGACAAGAGATTTTGGTAAGATTATTCAATTGGGCCAGTAAATTGGAAAAAATCATTTACATTTAAAAAAAACAACAAGATTAACATTGCTGCAATGAGAATGAAAAAAGAACTTACTTTTTATTGGAATTAAATTTGTTTTTGGATAAACAGTACAGGAATCTTGTACTCTTGTAAGGTATACTCACACCTAACATAGCAGTAAACATCAGTTTGATCTTGGACCAGATTTGTTTTTCATGGCATCTTTGTGGATTCTCTCCCCTACACTTTTGCATTTATGGTACCTTTGTGAAAAATCGCCCATTATCTTTTGTATTTGATGGTACCTTTGTGATTTCCTTTATAGTCATATGACATATATGTTAACATGTGGTTGCCTATAGTGTGTTTATCTATACCTAATGATTTAGTTCTAGTTGTGCACCATAGCCAAAATTTAGAAATTTTAGATTTTAATATTTTCAAAATTATGCTAGATTTAGGGAATAAACTACAATGGTATGAATGAGGATAATATAAGTTTTTTCAAGAGATATGACAATATATTGATTTAAAGTATTTTGCCATTACTTCTATTACCTAACCATCAGTATAGATATTTTTAGATAGAGGGACTCATTTCCCGAGGGAGAGCTTCGATGAAAGTTGATCTTTTGTTAATAGATACAAGTAGATGTACAGATTGCATAATTGATCAGACAAAGTTAAAATTCAAATATGATGTATAATAAATGAGACTTTTCAAACATTTCAAAACAATTTTTTCAAGAAAATATAGTTATATACTTGTACATACTGAAACCACTTTTACCAGAAAATATAGTACCATACTTGTAACTGCTTAAAAAAAATCAAACATGTACTTGTAACTATTTATAAATAGTCAGCTTCTATCAGTCTCTGTTCATCTTACAGCTGTGATTACAGTAAAACATAGTTGTGGTATAAAATATCAGATTTTTATATATTAGTCATTTGATTAAATTAACAATGTGCCATTGTCAGTAATAGTTATAAATATATATCTTGTCATTGTAAAATTTATATAATTTAGTTCAAAAGTGATGTGCAAAAATCAAATATTTTGAACACAAAACAGTAGGACCTGTTTCTTGGTATTCCTTCTTATCCTATTCAAATGCAAATGGACAGATTTTTGGAATGTTTTAAATTATTTAACTTTTAGTTTCTAATATCAGTTAATTGTAATATATTTGATATCTTGTGAAAATCAAACCTCACAACAAATTTTCTCTTGAATAACAAGTTGAAAATATTAACACTTCAAAAAAGTATTTTTTGTCCTTCCTGTGGTGAAAATCTGGAAGGCAAGACAAAGCTAACCTAGATTCTGTTGATGGCATTGTCAGTATGGTGTTAAAGTTGTTTTATTAGACATCAATAAATTTTTCAAACATTGACAGAATTTTACTAAACTCTTGACAAAAGCTTCATGACCTCTTTGATTTGTATTTTCCCCATTTTTGCAGTCAATATACAGGTTTTAAATTTTAAAGTTTGGATAACTTTGCCAAACTTTCAAGGAATGTTACAAAACTAAGACAGAAGCTTCTTCATTATCAAAAGAGCAAAAACCTTGAGCAAAATGATTTTTTATTCATTTTACTGATGGATTTTTATTTAGCAATTAACATTACACTTTTACACTGAAAACAGCAGTCACATTTAAAATGCATGATTCTGTAGAACTCTTTTTTGAATTATTTCATTTACATTGAAACCAAAACTTTTTAGGGGGAAATTTATTTCACCTCACTTGCATTGATTTCAGTATGAAATTTTTAATTGGCTCTTGCTTATTTTTATATTCAATTGACCAATGACAAGAAAATGGTCAACACAATTATTGCTTATGCTGTTGATATTGTGACTTTTGGAAAAACTTTACACTTTTTACTTTTAATGTGTCTTGATTCAAACATTGTTGTAGAAAAAATTTACAGTATTTTGGGAATTTTTTATTAAGATTGACTTACAAAGAAAAACTGTTTGTATGCAAATAGCTTGTTAAGCTGACAGAATTTAAAGGGTATCAGAAAGTTCCATTGTTACAAATACCAATTCAGAATTTTTTGTTATAGATAAATGTTTTGTCTTAATTTTTGTTTGCCTTTAATAACAAAAAAAAACAAAACAGTACAGTACAAGTAGGGATGTAATTTTATACAAAAACATTAAAAAATGAAATTCAGATTTATTTGAAACCGGTGAAAAAGGACAGTGTTTTGAAATTTACACAGACGATTGTTTGACTACATGTTTGTTTATTTTGTTGCAATTTTTTTCCACTAGTGTGTTTTTCTTAATTTCCTGAGCACAATTCTAAACCCAAATAACTTCTGTTGGCACTAATTGTTTTGCTTTCTGTTGCTTCCAGTATTTGCCTCCCATGAAATATGGCCTGCTTGCTTCTAGTTTGAATTGTATATCTTAGTATATACTTCCAACTATGAGTAGGTTGAGATTGGTATACTCATCTGTTTATAAATTCATTTTGTCATTGTCATTTTGACACCAATTTTTAGTCTTGTATAAAATTCATATGTTATCACTTATTTGGCACCAAATGCTCTGTACAGTTTCAGTTTGAAAAGAGTTAATAAACAGTTGCTGTAATTGCATATTCAGAAACCTCAGGAAGTGAATTTCAAAGACATTACCCTAGATGTACATTTCTGGAATTTTCTGTTGGTGAAAAAGTTGTAATTTTGGATCAACTTTACCCTAGCAACCATTTCAAGTTGCATATATTGGTTTTGGATTTTTTATTACAGAATCAAACATTTAACAACTCATAAACTGGAATTGGGTCTCATAGTTTGTTATTGATACATATATATTTATAGATCGTTTTACTATACCATTTGTGTATTTTGCAAGGTCTTCATTTAGTTACAATATATATTAATTGTAGTGAATGAATGTGTTTTTTTTAATTTTATTTAAAATGGTAAACTTCATATTGTACAAATATGATGTATGTTGAAATGTATGAATTTATTGTATATTTTATCATTGTTATCAGGAAAAATCTTTTATGAAGTTAAGAGTAAAATTCATGCATAGCCTTTAATGAATTTTCTGTTATATTTAAAACTTGGTTGGTAAAAAGGATTGAAGATTGAATTATACAACAAGCATTTTGAATATTTCTTTTTACAGAAAAGTTGGCTTAAAAATCTCCTTAAAACTACGTAGCCAAGCATCTAAGTAATCCCTTGTTCCAGATTCCAAGCAACACTTGAATACTTGTTTCCATGATACAATGCTGACTTCTAATTTTACCTGTCTCATCAGGTTGTGCATTCCATTAAGGTAACAAAACAAACAGTGTTTTTCAGTCCGACAAAATAAAGACATGATTGTTTGTGAAAAATAGCTGGTGCATTTCAAAAGACCCACCAAAAAATATTGCACATATCTACCAAGTAAATATGAAGCAATAACATTTTAAAGCTGAAATTGCCTTTTGAAGAAAAACTTCTTAAAAGATTTTTTTTAATGCATGCAATTGCTTTAATGATTGTCAAAAATATTTTGTTTTAGTTTTAGTGAGCAATAAGTCTAACATAGAAGAATATTAAAATATAATTGATGGATTGAGGAATCATGTATATGTTATTCCTTCTTCACCAGATATTGTATCAAATGTTAAATTTCAAGTCTGTTTGACTTGTTTGTGTCTCATATTTGTTTATAAATCATACAATTTGATTACAGTGATATTTAATTTTTGATTTGTTGTTTTTAACATAAATTTTCATAACATGATTACATAATGTGTCTCTCTGTTTTTGAAAAAAATAAATGTTTTTATAGAAAAAAATTTCAACTGAAAAAAAGAAGTTGTTCAACAATCATGTACAATGATTCAGCTGACAGTGTAATTTGATTATACAAGTATAACTATGATACTTTGAAAATGATAATTGTAATACAAAGATGAAAATAAAATAGTTAAATTTAATTATCTCTGAATAATCATCTGAAATCATGTTATGTAGCAGTTTCAACATTTTCAAACAAAAGTCATGGATAGAAATAATCAACTCATCTTTCAATTCCACTTCTCTTCTAAATAACTTCAAAATTTTAAACTCAGCTTGAACTATAATGTATGAAATTTATTTTCAATTATCTTGCTAGACTTTATATCCTAGAAATTTTGTATCATTTTCATGTCATGTGAAGCTAGAATAGTTCATTTAGTTAAGATGATCATTCATAATATTTTATATGAATGTGGAGTCTTATATTAATTACAAAACAAAGCTAAGGTATGTACAATGAAATAAAATTTAATAAAAAAAAACAGACAAATAGGCAAAATGTTAATTCTAAGAAAATGGATTCAATTGGTAAGGGCCATTTGACAAATTGTTAACTTCTTTTTCTGATAAACTATTGGTAAAGGCTTCTAGAAGAGACAACCATGTTCACACATAACATGTGCATCATTTTTTTATGTTTTTTCCTCCATTTTTTGTAGCATCCGTCCTGTTGTTTTGGTTGTCTGGTTATAATGTAGACTATAGTATACAAATTTTTGCCAAAGGTAGATCGGGTTTTTGTCAGAATAATCTCAACAGTCTTAAACTTGTTACCTGTATCTAGATACAATAAATGTTATCAAATCATGAAAACGCTTAGTTTTTCTTTCTTTTTGCAGTATTAGATAGACATTTTTATTATATGTGGTAGTCTATTCATTATTCTTTTTATCTCTATTCTATTAATATAAATTAATGGTTTTGTTTAGGCTACACATTTATGTGAATTGTTTTTGTCTCGCCTTGACGGAGTCAAAAAGCGAGATATAGGTATGCTGTTTCCGGTGTTGGTGATGGTGTCGGCGGCAGCGGTGGCATCAACAATGTATTAGTTTGTGATTAGGTCTAGTTCATGGTGAACCACTGGTGGTAGGTCAATGATATTTGGTATGCAGTTGTATTAGCATTGGCACATCTCATTACCATGGAGATTATTTGGCTCTGCCCCCTCAGTCATGGTCTATTGACTTTGAAACTTTGCTTAGTTTTCATGTATTAGTTTGTGATTAGGTCAGTTTATGGGGAACCACTAGTGGTAGGTCAATGATATTTGGTATGCAGTTGTATAAGCATTGGCATATATCATTTCCATGGAGATTATTTGGCCCCGCCCCCTAATTCATGGTCTATTGACTTTGAAACTTTTGCTTAGTTTTCATGTATTAGTTTGTGATTAGGTCAGTTTAAGATGAACCACTAATGTTAAGTCAATGATATTCGGTATGCAAATGTATTGGCATTTGCAAGTTTCATTTCCATGGAGATTATATAACCCCACCCCCTAATTATGGTTCATTGACTTTGAAACTTTTACATAGTTTACAAGTTAATGTTTGTGTTTAGGTTTGTTTAAAGGGAAAGACTGATGAAAAGTCAATGGTATTTGGTTTGCAGTTGTATTAGCATTGGCACATCTCGTTTCCATGGAGATTGTTTAGCCCTGTACCTTCAGTCATAGTTCATTGACCTTGAATATTTGCATAACTTACATGTTAAAGTATTGCTATCTTAATTTCAACATTTGCATTATCAAAATAACAAATAGGCGAGACATATCTCTGTGTTAAATGTTTATTTGAAATGACAGATTCAAGATAAATAGTATACACTTGATGATGAGTTTTGGCTTCACCTCGAGTAATAGTTGTTATCTCAGGGACAACAAACTTGCTATTACCCTCAAAACCAGTCATTAAAGAGTTTTATTAAACCAAACAAGACAACTTCCAAAGAAATCAACATACAACACCTAGTTATAAACAAATAGTCACATATACATGCACATGATGTATGAGAAGGCATATTTTGTCATCATATTATTTGTAAATATTTGGTTTACAGAAATCAAAACAAAGAATCTGATCCTTGTGTAAAAATTTCCTTGCATATGATTGCTACCGACCAGGAAAGATGATTGTTGAACTATTTACCAGGGAAATTGTGTTTGAAACTATTGGCAAATAGTAGATGAAAGGAGAGCATAAATATTTAATTCTTTCTATATACATGAAAAACATACTGATGTTTAATAATTCAAGTTAATACAATCCAATATTTATGAATAAAATATCGTCAAGACTAAAATATTTTGTCAATCTAAAAAATAAGTATTAATTGCTTTACATCTTGTCACAATATTTGTATGCATAAATATACATAGAGTGAATCAATCCACTCAGTGCAAGCCCTAAGTGTTAATAGTTAAAACTGGTATGTATTACTATAGTAACAGGAAGAGTAACTAGAGGCTCTAAAGAGCCTATGTCGCTCACCTTGGTCTATGTGCATATCAAACAAAGGACACCGATGGATTCATGACAAAATTGTGTTTTGGTGATGGTGATGTGTTTGTAGATCTTACTTTACTGAACATTCTTGCTCTTTACTATTATCTCTATCTATAATGAACTTGGCCCAGTAGTTACAGTGGAAAATATTATGTAAAAATTTACAAAAATTTGCAAAATTTATGAAAATTGTAAAAAATTGACTATAAAGGGCAATAACTCCTTAAGGGGACAATTGACAATTTTGATCATGTTGACTTATTTGTAGATCTTACTTTGCTGTACATTATTGCCGTTTACAGTTTATCTCTATCTATAATAATATTCAAGATAATAACCAAAAGCTGCAAAATTTTCTTAAAATGACCAATTCAGGGGCAGCAACCCAACAACGTGTTGCCTGATTGGTCTGAAAAATTCAGGGCAGATAGATCTTGACCTAATGAACAATTTTATCCTCGTCAGATTTGCTCTAAATGCTTTGGTTTCAGAGATATGAGCCAAAAACTGCATTTTACCCTATGTACTATTTTTTAGCCATGTCGGCCATCTTGGTTGGTTGGCGGGGTCATCGGACACATTTTTAAAACTAGATACCCTAATGATGATTGTGGACAAGTTTGGTTAAATTTGTCTTTGTAGTTTCAGAGGAGAAGATTTTTGTAAAAGATAACAAAAATTTACGAAAAATGGTTAAAAATTGACTATAAAGGGCAATAACTCCTTAAGGGGTCAACTGACCATTTTGGTCAAGTTGACTTATTTGTAGATCTTACTTTGCTGAACATTATTGCTGTTTACAGTTTATCTCTATCTATAATAATATTCAAGATAATAACCAAAAACAGCAAAATTTCCTTAAAATTACCAATTCAGGGGCAGCAACCCAACAACGGGTTGTCCGATTCATCTGAAAATTTCAGGGCAGATAGATCTTGACCTGATAAACAATTTTACCCCATGTCAGATTTGCTCTAAATGCTTTGGTTTCGGAGATATAAGCCAAAATCTACTTTTTTCCCCTATGTTCTATTTTTAGCCATGGCGACCATCTTGGTAGGTTGGCAGGGTCATCGGACACATTTTTTAAACTAGATACTTGAATGATGATTGTGTTTAAGTTTGGGTGCATTTGGCCCAGTAGTTTCAGAGGAGAAGATTTTTGTAAAAGTTTACGGACGACGGACGAATGACGCAGGACGACGGACGACGGACGCAAAGTGATGAGAAAAGCTCACTTGACTTTTCAGGTCAGGTGAGCTAAAAAGTGAATCCCAAAATCTGGAAACTAAATAATTTCAGTCAATAAAAAGAGAATGATGGAAGTTTTGGCTATTCTTGGTGTGTCCCTTTTGATCACATGGCTCCAAGTATTTATACATCCTTAGATTAAAAAATTTTGCTTTTGAGAGATCTTGATTAAGATAAATGCCGAAGCACTTTTAACACACCAAATTTATATGATGTTATTTTTATGCCCCCATGTGACTTATTAAATAATCAAATAAAAGTTAGATAATCACTTAAACTTAAACCATGTTTTTCGACAAACAATGAGAATCTAAATAGCAGAATGATTCTGTTAGTGGGTCATAATCTACCTTACAGGCCTATTCAGCCTATCATTACTGAAGGAATCTTGTTGCTTGTCCTGGAAGATGGCAAGGTGCCTTTAACATGGTATGTGATAGAATTGTCAGTAAAGTCTACAGGTTTGTGTTTTTCCTCAGATTCTTGAGTTTCCGTGATATGGTTTTTGATAGAAATGCCAGTTAAGTTGTAAGGTTTGTGGTTGATCAAAGCACTAAGGAGCCATTGATATGCTATTTGATAGAATTAAAAGTAACTTTGAAGATTTTTTGTTTTCCTCTTGCACTAAGGTGCTTTTGATATGGTATGTGATAGAATTGTAAATTAGTCTGCAAGTTTGCACCAAGGATCACTTGATATGCTATTTGATAGAATTGTCAGTCATAAGGTTCACAGTATATTTGCAAAGTACCACTTGATATGCAATTTGATAGAATTGTCATTGATCTGAAAGTTTGATTGATTGATTGTAGGTTGTTAATAAGGTTTGTGATGTTTCTGTGGCACAAAGTAGTACGTGAGAATGGCCAGTTGTATGAAGAATTGTGGTTTTCCTCTTGCACAAAGGTGCACTTGATATGGTATATGATAGAAATGTCAGTAAGCCTGGGGGTTTGTGATTTACCTTGTGTAGACAAAACACTTGTCTGGCATAGCAAATTATCAGCCTGGCATATTTGATGAGTTTTTTGTGGGTATTTACAACATAAATGAGCATTAGCTATGAAATTGAACCAAAAAATATGAATTTTTTGGTTTCAAACATATAATAAAAAAAATTATACTTCGCTATTAACAGTCAGCTTGGATCAATTTGTCTAAGTAAACTAAAAAAAAACATCACTGGTGTATTATTGACTTGCAAGTCACTAGGAACAATCATTTCCTCGACTGATCTGGCCCACAAAAATCATTCTTATACAAGCAAAATGATGATCTATATATATTTTTAACCTATAACATGAAATCAAACAGCCCTAAAAAATCTCACGACTCATGTTTGCTTTTTATATTTATATTTATTTACCTCAGATATTAAGGTTAACATGATATGTAAATGATAGAAATGTTATTAAGTCTGTTGGTTTATGGTTTACATCAGGCACTAAGGTGAACCTGATATGGTATGTGATATGATTGTCCTTACTCAATATTGGCCTGATACATGTATCAGTGGATGACGTTGAGTTTACCTCATTCCTCAACTAAACAGTTGTTAATGTTGGTAGAAAACATTTTGTCACCACATGTGTTGTAGCAAAAGACTTCAGGTGTCTGAATAATGTACCAAGAGACTGTTTCTCATTTGGGGTGACTTATTCTATATTTGCATAAAATATTTGCCACCTGACAACCAAACAACATTAATATGCAGTTCCATATGTTTATGTTGCCTGACAAAATTTCACAAAAATCCAAGAGATTGCCCATTTACGTACTGGTTACCGGTACTTCAAAGATGAAAGATGATAAGTCACATACCATGTTCTCACTATCAAGGAAAAGAGGACTGGATTGTTACTAGGAAAAGTAGAACATGTGATACAGATATTTCAAAATAGTCAACCAAATCATTATGGTGTCTGCAAAACATTCAAAAGGATGATTTAATTTGATCATAAAGTAACCTCAGTTCACTAGCTTCCTTGTAAGTGGCAATTCCCAACCATGGAAAACATGATAGGAAGTACATCTGGAAAGAAACAGCTGATAGATTTATGCACTTTCTATTTAGCTGCTACCTGGTGGAATTCAATTTTAATCTTTTTATATTGATTTAGTACTTTTAGTTTATCTCTGATTCTGATGTTCTTTTTTTTTTATAATGAATTTTCTTTATTGTAACAAATAGACTAGCACAACATGTATGAACAAAAGGTATACAGAATGGCAGATTCTGATGTTCTTGGCTTGAATTTAAACTAGTTGCTTTATTATCTCAGCTAAAAATGTGTTATAAAAAAACACTATCTGCTTGAGCAAACAATAAACAGGCATTCTGATTGTTATACAACAAACCGATTGGCATAGAATTTATAATAAAGGAAATATATTTGAGTGTACATAAAAAAAATCAATTTTAAATATCTGACTTAGCAGATGTATTATAAGCTTGCAAGTCAATAATTCAACCTCATTTGAATCCATATTCATGCAACCTTTAATTTGAACTTTATTGAAATGGGTTGCAGATGTGTTCAGTATGTGGTTCATTCATTAAAAAATAAATGTGGATAGTGTCCTAAATCTGTATTATGTAGTAATAAGCATTGTGTATAAGTTTCATAACATTTGGTTGAGGCAAACTCAAGTTAGAGAATGGAAACCAATTTTGGGACGTACGTACGTACATACAGATGGACAAGGGTAAAACTTAATGCCCCCTCCGCTACGGCAGGGACATAAAAAGAATGTAAACACTGAAAAGTGAAACAAGGGAGACACCAGGAATCATCATTTCTCAACTGATCTACCCCTTAAAAAATACATTCTTATACAGATGATTGACATATATTTTTAACCTATAATATAAAATCAAACAGACCTAGAAAAATCATCATTATACGATTGCATGTGCTTGCATTTATATTTATGTTTATATCCAGTTATATGACCGTCAGCAATCTTCGAAGATAATCTCAATGGATAACTAGATGGCATCTAGTCTAAAATATGCTGATACATTATAACCAGCCCATGCATTGTAAATTGTTTCTGTTGGACTTTTTGTAATTTGAATATACCTTTTAGTATGTTAGAAATCAAATATGAGAATTTGGGTCAAATCAGTAAACATAAAATTTGACAGCTAATGCCCCTTTAAATTGTTCGGAGTCTGAAAAAAGTTCTGCATAAATTTAACAGAAACTATTAAAGATCTGCCAACAAGCAGAAATTCTACATCAATCACATTTGTCTCATTGTAGTTCAAATCATTTAAAAAAGAACTTTAATGGGACTAAAAAATCTGTATCCAATTTTCAAAGAAACAAAAATCTACACAAGGTTCGACTGTATATTTGTTTCAATATTTGTATATTTTTAACATCTTGTGCTATTTTCCATATGTTTTTTTTTTGTAGACAATACATTGATAATTTTCTTGGAAGAATTTAAAAACATTAAGCACTAGTACTCCTACTTTCTGAAATAATATAGACAACTACAAATATAACATTTCCTAAAAACATTTTATTTGTTCCTGGAAAAATGAATGCTACATTAAATCATCAGTGAATGATTAGTGTACAGTGTGTGGATTATTTTTTTCTTACAATACAGTATACATGTACTGACACCTGAATATGTATCTTGACAGCAAAACATAAATAAATCAAAACAGTTTTGTCTGAAGTATATTTGGTTATTATTGTCATCTGGTATGAACATGTATAATACTTTTTTTACAATTTTATTTGGTTTGAATATATAGCCAATTTTCAGGACAAAAACTAGACATCATTGAGATAAGAACCATCTATGTGGGCCCCGCTGTGAATAATGTGTGCTAAAAATTTGTATCTTTACCATTGGACATGGGGTTGTCATCTGAAACCAAAGTTTTTGACCTTGACCTTTGACCTAGGAAGTTGTACATTCATTATGACACACCTTCTGGTGTTGGTTAATATACATGTCAAGTATAAACTTTGAAATCATAAAGGTTCTCAAGATATAGAAAGGACACGATCTTTACCATAGGACATGGGGTTGTAACTGAAACCAAAGTTTTTGACCTTGACCTTTGACCTAGGAAGTTGTACAAACATTATGGTGTTGGTTAATATACATGTCAAGTATTAAGTATGAAATCATAACGGTTCTCTAGATATAGAGCGGACACAATTTGTTACGGATGGACAGACAGATCACTATAGGGCGACCCGCCATTCGGCGGGGCCCTAATAAAACTTATGTTTATAATATCATTAAATGAGAACCCTTCTAAAAAATGTAATCAACAAATAAACCTGTGACAATTCTGCTGACATTGATACCAAGTTCATTAAACTCCAACAATAAGTAATTTCGCAATACCATTTTAAAAATACATAGTTTAATTTATATGAAATATATAGCAAAAAATTGTAAGTAAAGAGTACTTATTGCATAACAGCGTAATTTCATTTGGAAGAGAATAAAAGTATTCTTGAAAAAACATGTAATTTGTAATAGGTCAATTGTTTAGGTGCATAGAATGATAATTTTTGCCAAATATTTATTATGAAATGCAAGCTACTGACAACAACATATGTTGTGGGTTTAAGACAATATACAGTTGACTTTTTAACATTAAGAAATCACTTTCTATGGCAATTTTTGTTATGCTATACATATAATTGTTGCAGACATAATAAATAACACATAGTAAATATAATTTTGAAATTCTATCTCAGGAATATAATTTACACAGTAATACTTATATACATATACATATTTACAAATGTTCTAAATATCCTCCAACAAACAAGACAGTAACAAACAGAAGTAACAATGTTAAAGTTATCCTCTAAAAATTATTTCAATAATGTGCTCCACTTTTCTTTATAATTTATTTACAGTGCTTATATAAATTATGAACATTATACTTAAGGTTTATTTTCTCTTAAAACAATTATTAGGAAAATAATGTGTTGCTATGACTCGTGATAACAAAACTTCCTATAATAGCAAGAGATACAAACCATTGTGGAGGGGGGAATTAACAAATTTTTTACCTAAGAAATGAATAACAATTGACAGTTTGACATATGACAAAGATAAACAAATGAATGGTATAATTATCTTATTCCTTTATGTCAAAGCATAGCCATATAATCATGGTTTAAAATACAGACCAAGTCAAATTCACTTACCAAAAAATTATGCTAGTATACAGTATACAAAAAAAGTTTTAGACCAGCTAAATATTACCCCTTTCTTCATATAATCTAATTTTAGAATACATACATGTAAAATATTACTGAATGCCCCAAAATAAAGCAAAACACAGGTAAGTCATGAACAATTTGATATAACTTACAATAAATTTTAAACAAAAAGATTTTTTGTGAAAATAGTCGCTTGCCAATTTCTTTAGCACTTATTATTTAGACTGATTCATAGATTATACAACAATGTTGCTTTCTTTTATCAAAGGTAATTATAACTTTAATGAATTTCCTTCTTTAGTAAATCAAAGGTCTTGTCTTGGCCTTTTCACATCCTATATCTTCCTGTCAAATCTTATTAACCTTCATTATAATTAATTCTTACAGTTTTGAAATTTTGGAGATACAGTCGAACCTCGTTGTGTCGAAGTGGAAGGGACCGGACCAAAGTATTAGACTCATCTGAGGTAGAGTGTGTCGTCATAAATTTGGAATGCATGAAATATGGTTTGAGATTTGTGTAAACTAGATACTTTGAACAGTATGTTTTTTTTGGATATGACTCTTTATGATTGTGTATTCAATCTCCGTAGTTTGTGTCCTTCATAATCAAACACGCAGGTACAGATACAAATTATGAACAAATAAAATCAATAGTCGACACAAATATTTAATAAAAAGGTCAGTCACTATAAATTATGAAATCACTCCAGGAATGAAACAAATTCTAAACGGTCTCTGATGAGGTCGTCTCCTTTACATTAAATTATTATGAATTTATTGTAATTGTCTTAATCCTTTTATTTATAGTAATTAATGAGTTTTAATTCTAACGATTCATTTAATCTCGGCTTGGGTCATTTAAATTCGTTTCGTTGAAATATGTTCAACACTAACGTTCTGCTTGAACGATCAACAAAGGTGTTAATTACCGGTCACCATAAACATGTCATTTTAACTGTTATACAAAGAAGTATGTATACTCAGCTTAAATCTCTTTTGAAAATGATTAGATAACATAAGAAATACTATCGATTTGAATTTTTATCATAAGGTCTCCATTTTTCAAAAATTCTTACTTTTGAACTTCGAGACATCGGGGTCAATTTACATTAATTTTACATCAACAGGACTATAAAATTTACTCGACTGAACCGAGTATTCGAATCAACGGAGTTCGACTCATCAGAGGTAATTATGCATTAATCAAACGGGAATTTTACAGGGACCGAGAAATAACTTCGACTCATCCGAGTTTTCGACACAACTGAGTTCGACACGAGGTTCGACTGTATATAAGAATAGACTTGAGAAACTTTTTAATTCAATATCAAGGGTTCTTCAGTAAGTGCAATACAATAGCAATACTTCAAATATCATAACATTAATTCTTATAAGAGTGATTAATTCAAAGATAAAATATATGTGTTCAATATTGAATAATCTACAACAGATTGTAAATTCTAGGGCATGTTCAATTTTGTTCATCGCTAGTTGCCTAAATAGTATATATTCAAAAGACTTTAACAACTTAATGAACAATAAAATGTTTTATGATATCGAACATCCACTAAATGTTCCAGGATCTTTGTCAGACATTGGTGTTTCCTTCTCCTTCACTGGTGGTAATTCCTTTTTGTCCTTATCTTTATCTGCTTTTTTCTGAAAGAAAAAAATATGCATCCTATTATCACTTGTTCACAGTATAGAAAAGAGCATCCTAACACCACTTGTTCACAGTATAGAAAGGAGCATCCTAACACCACTTATTCACAGTATAGAAAGGTGCATCCTAGCATCACTTGTTCACATTATAGAATGAAGCATCCTAACATAACTTGTTCATTCACATTATAGAATGGAGCATCCTAACATAACTTGTTCACAGTATAAAAAGGTACATCCTAACACCACTTGTTCACAGTATAGAAATGAGCATCCCAGCATTACTTGTTCACAGTATAAAAAGGTACATCCTTACATCACTTGTTAACAGAATGGAAAAGTGCATACTAACACCACTTGTTCACAGTATAGAATAAAATGCTCCGCAGGGCGCAGCTTGATACGACCGCAGAGGTCGAACCCTGAACAGTTGGGGCAAGTATGGACACAACATTCAAGCTTGATACAGCTTTGCATTTGGATTGTGATTAAATATTTGACACAGCATAGATTTTCTGACAAAGAATGAATGTGGTCTAAGAACTTAAAAATTTTAAATTGGACATTCACCTATTATGGTCCAATATCCAAAATCTAAATACATGGTTAGATTAAGCATATCAAAGAACCCCAAGAATTCAATTTTTGATGAAATCAAACAAAGTTTAATTTTGGACCCTTTTGACCTCAATGTGAACAAAGTTGATAACGGGGCCCAAAAATCAAAAATCTAAATACATGGTTAGATTCAGCATATCAAAGAACCCCATATATTCAATTTTTGTTGAAATCAAACAAAGTTTAATTTTGGACCCCGATTTGGACCAACTTGAAAACTGGGCCCATAATCAAAAATCTAAATACATGTTTAGATTCAGCATATCAAAGAACCCTAAGAATTCAATTTTTGTTAAAATCAAACTAAGATTAATTTTGGACCCTTTGGACCTTAATGTAGACCAATTTGAAAACCGAACCAAAAATTAAGAATCTAAATACACAGTTAGATTCGGCAAATCAAAGAACCCCAATAATTCAATTTTTGATGAAATCAAACAAAGTTTAATTTTGGACCCTTTGGACCTCAATGTGGACCAATTTAAAAACGGGGCCCAAAATCCAAAAACTAAATACACGGTTAGATTCAGCATATTAAAGAACCCCAAGAATTCAAGAATAAAACCCCATTGAAATTGGTCAAGAAATAAGCAATTTATACAAAGTACCTTCTTTTGCACAATACTGTGCAATTAAATATTTCTTGCTATTGCGCAATACTGTACAATTGACAATTTCTTGCTATTGCGCAATATTGTGCTATTGGATATTTCTTGCTTTTGCGCAATACTGTGCAATTGAAGATTTCTTGCTATTGCGCAATACTGTGCAATTGAAGATTTCTTGCTATTGTGCAATACTGTGCAATTGAAAATTTCTTGCTATTGCACAATACTTATTATATAATAATTTACACATCCTGTTTGGTGTGTATCTCCTACCATATCATTATTATTTGCTTTTAAATATAAATCAGAAATAACCAACTTAAAATGGAAAATTTTAAAAGAAAAAAAAAATGAAAAAAAGAAAAAATAAAATGCTTCGCTGGGGCGCAGCTTGATACGACCGCAGAGGTCGAACCCTGAACAGTTGGGGCAAGTATGGACACAACATTCAAGCTTGATACAGCTCTGAATTTGGATTGTTATTAAATATTTGACACAGCATAGGTTTCTGACACAGAAAGAATGTGGTCTAAGAACTTGAATTTTTTTAATTTACCTATTATGGTCCAATGTCCAAAATCAAAATACATGGTTAGATTCAGCATATCAAAGAACCCCATATATTCAATTTTTGTTAAAATCAAACAAAGTTTAATTTTGGACCCCAACTTGGACAAACTTGAAAACTGGGCCCATAATCAAAAATCTAAACACATGTTTAGATTCAGCATATCAAAGAACCCCAATAATTCAATTTTTGCTAAAATCAAACTAAGTTTAATTTTGGACCCTTTGGACCTTAATGTAGACCAATTTAAAAAACGGGACTTGAAATTAAAAATCTAAATACACGGTTAGATTTGGAATATCAAAGAACCCCAATAATTCAATTTTTGATGAAATCAAACAAAGTTTAATTTTGACCCTTTTGACCTCAATATGAACCAATTTGATAGCGGGGCCCACAAAAAAAAAATCTAAATTCATGGTTATATTCAGCATATCAAAGAACCCCATATATTCAATTTTTGTTGAAATCAAAACAAAGTTTAATTTTGGACCCCAACTTGGACCAACTTGAAAACTGGGCCCATAATCAAAAATCTAAACACATGTTTAGATTAAGCATATCAAAGAACCCAAAGAATTCAATTTTTGTTAAAATCAAACTAAGTTTAATTTTGGACCCTTTGGACCTCAATGAAGACCAATTTAAAAAACGGGACCCAAATTAAAAATCTAAAAACACGGTTAGATTTGGCATATCAAAGAACCCCAATAATTCAATTTTTGATGAAATCAAACAAAGTTTAATTTTGGACCCTTTTGACCTCAATATGAACCAATTTGATAGCAGGGCCCACAAATAAAAAATCTAAATACATGGTTAGATTCAGCATATCAAAGAACCTCATATATTCAATTTTTGTTGAAATCAAACAAAGTTTAATTTTGGACCCCAATTTGGACCAACTTGAAAACTGGGCCCATAATCAAAAATCTAAATACATGGTTAGATTCAGCATATCAAAGAACCTCATATATTCAATTTTTGTTGAAATCAAACAAAGTTTAATTTTGGACCCCAATTTGGACCAACTTGAAAACTGGGCCCATAATCAAAAATCTAAACACATGTTTAGATTCAGCATATCAAAGAACCCCAAGAATTCAATTCTTGTTAAAATCAAACTAAGTTTAATTTTGGACCCTTTGGACCTTAATGTAGACAAATTTAAAAAACAGGACCAAAAATTAAAAATCTAAATACACGGTTAGATTTGGAATATCAAAGAACCCCAATACTTCAATTTTAGATGAAATCAAACAAAGTTTAATTTTGGACCCTTTTGACCTCAATATGAACCAATTTGATAACGGGGTCCACAAATAAAAAATCCAAATACATGGTTAGATTCAGCATATCAAAGAACCCCACATATTCAATTTTTGTTGAAATCAAACAAAGTTTAATTTTGGACCCCAATTTGGACCAACTTGAAAACTGGGCCAAAAATCAAAAATCTAAATACATGTTTAGATTCAGCATATCAAAGAACCTCATATATTCAATTTTTGCTAAAATCAAACAAAGTTTAATTTTGGACCCTTTGGACCTTAATGTAGACCAATTTGAAAACTGGACCAAAATTAAAAATTTAAATACACTGTTAGATTCGGCATAACAAATAAATAAATGTGATCAAAGATTTTACAAATCTAATGCGCCATACTGTGCAATTAAAGATTACTTCTTGAAATTTTTCAATATTTGAAATTTGAAAAAAAAATAATATTTGAAGAATAATTCTTTTTAAATTCTGAAATCTGAAATGAGAAAAAATTGACCCCCCACAATTTCTTTTTATCCCCCCCTTTTTTCCCCAAAAAAATTCTTTCCCTCAAGATATGGTCATAATCTCAATTCAAATTTCCAATGGAGTTGGCAACCATAATTACCCATTTAAATTTACCATAGTGCTAACTTAATCTATTTTATAATAGAATTAAAAATATACTGTCAAATCTTTCATATGGATTTTTTTGTAAAAAAAAAAGATGCAACATTTGCAGATATTTTTACTGGTCTTCCTTTATAGATATGCATTTCTTTAAACATAATTTAAAAGCAGTGTAAGGGAAGTAACCAAAACGTTGTATTTAGATTACCTCCCTTACACTGTTTTAAATTATCTTTATTGTTCATTAACCATTACTTTATACATAATTTAAAAGCAGTGTAAGGGAGATAATCTCAATGATGTATTTGATTTATCTCCCTTACACTGCTTTAAATTATGTTTTGTACAAAAGTATTTGTCAATTAACCAGGACAACCTTGTTTTTCCCCCTTTTTTGCCCCTAATTCCTAAACGGTTTGAGCCATAACCCCCCAAAGCAAAACCTAACCATCCCTTTGTGGTATGGAAACTTGTAGTATAATTTCAGAGAGATCCATACACCGTTCCACAGTTATTGTCTGGAAACTAGAAAATGCTTATTTTTGGCCCCTTTTTGGCCCCTAATTCCTTAACTGTTGGTACCATAACCCCCAAAATCAATCCCAACCTTCCTTTTGTGGTATTTAACCTTATGGTCAAATTTCAAAAAGATCCATTCACTTAAACTAAAGTTAGAGTGCGAAAACCAGTATGTATTCGGACGACGACGACGACGACGACGACGCCAACGTCATACCAATATACGACCACAAAATTTTTTTGCGGTCGTATAAAAATGAAACCCCCCCCCCAAATTTTTTGAACCCCCTTATGATTCATCACCCCCAAACTCAATCCCAGCCTTCCCTTTGTGGTATGGTACCTTGCAGTACAATTTCAGAGAGATCCATACACTTGTACACAAGTTATTGTCTGGAAACTAGAAAAATGTGTTTTTGGCCCCTTTTTGGCCCCAAATTCCTAAAATATTGAGGCAATTACCCCCATCATCAATCCCAGCCTTCCCTTTGTGGTATGGTACCTTGCAGTACAATTTCAGAGAGATCCATACACTTATACACAAGTTATTGTCCTGAAACTATAAAAATGCCTGTTTTTTTGCCCCTTTTTGGCCCCTTATTCCTAAAATATTGAGGCAATTACCCCCATCATCAATCCAAGCCTTCCCTTTGTGGTATGGTACCTTGCAGTACAATTTCAGAGAGATCCATACACTTGAACACAAGTTATTGTCTGGAAACTAGAAAAATGCTTATTTTTGGCCTCCAATTCCTAAATGTTTCGGCAATTACCCCCAAACTCAATTCCAGCTTTCCCTTTATGATATGGAACCTTGTAGTACAATTTCAGAAAGATCCATACACTTACACACAAGTTATTGTCATGAAACTAGAAAAATGCTTGTTTTTTGCCCCTTTTTTGGCCCCTTATTCCTAAAATTTTGAGGCAATTACCCCCAAAATCAATCCCAGCATTCCTTTTGTGATATGGAACCTTGTGGTACAATGTCAGAGAGATCCATACACTAACACACAAGTTATGTCTGGAAGTTACAAAAATGCTTATTTTTGGCCCCTTTTTGGCCCCTAATTCCTTTACTGTTGGTACCATAACCCCCAAAATCAATCCCAACCTTCCTTTTGTGGTATTGAACCTTGTGGTAAAATTTCATAGAGATCCATTCACTTAAACTAAAGTTAGAGTGTGAAAACCAATGTGTCTTCGGACAACGAGGACGACGACGCCAACGTCATACCAATATACGACCACAAAATTTTTTTTGCGGTCGTATAAAAATGCATACTAACATCACTTGTTCACAGTATAGAAAGGTGCATACTTACATCACTTGTTCACAGTACAGAAATGTGCATACTAACACCACTTGTTCACAGTATAGAAAGGAGCATCCTAACATTTCACAGTATAAAAAGGTGCATCTTAACATCACTTGTTCAAAGTAAAGAAAATTAAACGTATAGAAAGGTGCATCTGTATATCACTTAGTCACAGAACGTAAAGGGCCCTAATTAATCACAGTATGTACAAGATTAATTAGCCTCTTTCTGATAAGATGTGGTTGCCTTGTTATACACAACCCTCAGTATGAGAGAAATACAGGTGACCATTTATCTATAACCAATTCAATTAGTGGGGTCATGATGTTTGATAATACAATAATATAAAAAAATAAGATATAAATGGTATTCCGCATGTTCAGATACAAATTTTTGGCTAATTGTATGTTTGTTGACTAATTATGTATTTTGAGACTATAACATAATTTTATACCATAAACATGCAATGAAATATAATCATTAACTATTGACAATCAGAAATCAATCAACAGTTTGTCATCTCAGAAACCATTATATTTATATGAGTTTTGTCATACTAACCTCATTTTCTTCTTTGGGAGCCATCTTAGCATCCATTTTTTCATACACATCTTTTGTCCATAAAGGACTAAGGGCAATGCTTTTAAATTCCTCAGGGGACACTAAACCATACGTGGCTTTCAATTCTAACTGTGGTGGATCATATGGTACTTTGTGATGGTATCTGAAAATATATATCCTTATTTCAGCCTCATGTTTAAATTCTATAAAGACAGGAATATCCAAATTTACTATTTTCCTGCAACTATAGTAAAATTAATAAAATGCTCCGCAGGGCGCAGCTTGATACGACCGCAGAGGTCGAACCCTGAACAGTTGGGGCAAGTATGGACACAACATTCAAGCTTGATACAGCTCTGAATTTGGATTGTGATTAAATATTTGACACAGCATAGGTTTCTGACACAAAATGAATGTGGTCTAAGAACTTAAAAATTTTAAATTGGACATTCACCTATTATGGTCAAATATCCAAAATCTAAATACATGGTTAGATTCAGCAAATCAAAGAACCCCAAGAATTCAATTTTTGATGAAATCAAACAAAGTTTAATTTTGGACCCTTTTGACCTCAATGTGGACAAAGTTGATAACGGGGCCCAAAAATCAAAAATCTAAATACATGGTTAGATTCAGCATATCAAAGAACCCCATATATTCAATTTTTGTTGAAATCAAACAAAGTTTAATTTTGGACCCTGATTTGGACCAACTTGAAAACTGGGCCCATAATCAAAAATCTAAATACATGTTTAGATTCAGCATATCAAAGAACCCTAAAAATTCAATTTTTGTTAAAATCAAACTAAGTTTAATTTTGGACCCTTTGGACCTTAATGTAGACCAATTTGAAAACGGAACCAAAAATTAAGAACCTAAATACACGGTTAGATTCCGCATATCAAAGAACCCCAATAATTCAATTTTTGATGAAATCAAACAAAGTTAAATTTTGGACCCTTTGGACCTCAATGTGGACCAATTTAAAAACGGGCCCAAAATCGAAAAACTTAATACACGGTTAGATTCAACATATTAAAGAACCCCAAGAATTCAAGAATAAAACCCCATTTAAATTGATCAAGAAATAAGCAATTTATACGAAGTATCTTCTTTTGCACAATACTGTGCAATTGAATATTTCTTGCTATTGCGCAATACTGTACAATTGACAATTTCTTGCTATTGCGCAATATTGTGCTATTGGATATTTCTTGCTATTGCGCAATACTGTGCAATTGAAGATTTCTTGCTATTGCGCAATACTGTGCAGTTGAAGATTTCTTGCTATTATGCAATGCAATTGAAAATTTCTTGCTATTGCACAATACTTATTATATAATAACTTACACATCCTGTTTGGTGTGTATCTCCTACCATATCATTATTATTTGCTTTTAAATATAAATCAGAAATAACCAACTTAAAATGGAAAATTTTAAAAGAAAAAAAAAATGAAAAAAAGAAAAAAAAAAGAAAACCCCCCCCCCAATTTTTTGAACCCCCTTATGATTCATCACCCCCAAACTCAATCCCAGCCTTCCCTTTGTGGTATGGTACCTTGCAGTACAATTTCAGAGAGATCCATACACTTGAACACAAGTTATTGTCTGGAAACTAGAAAAATGCTTATTTTTGGCCCCTTTTTGGCCCCCAATTCCTAAACGTTTCGGGCAATTACCCCCAAACTCAATTCCAGCTTTCCCTTTGTGATATGGAACCTTGTAGTACAATTTCAGAAATATCCAAACACTTACACACAAGTTATTGTCATGAAACTAGAAAAATGCTTGTTTTTTGCCCCTTTTTTGGCCCCTAATTCCTAAAATTTTGAGGCAATTACCCCCAAAATCAATTACAGCCTTCCCTTTGTGATATGGAACCTTGTGGTACAATGTCAGAGAGATCCATACACTTACACACAAGTTATTGTCTGGAAGTTACAAAAATGCTTATTTTTGGCCCCTTTTTGGCCCCTAATTCCTTAACTGTTGGTACCATAACCCCCAAATCAATCCCAACCTTCCTTTCGTGGTATTGAACCTTATGGTAAAATTTTATGGAGATCCATTCACTTAAACTAAAGTTAGAGTGTGAAAACCAATGTGTCTTCGGACGATGCCGACGACGACGCCAACGTCATACCAATATACAACCAAAAAATGTTTAATTTTTGCGGTCGTATAAAAACCACATCTTTTTAAATTTCCTTTTTATACACTTGTAAGCTTTAAAGTACAGCGGAAGCAGGTGGCCAACACATATTCAACTTATGCACTATCTCTGACTTATAACCATATCAAAGTTATTTTATTGGATATTTGAAGAATAGAAAGGATATTTAAAACTTACATCATGCCATTTTCTCTTTCACACTTTTCTAAGGTTCGTTTTAAGATTGGTCCAAACTTTCTAAAGAAAAAATGATTCATGGGCCTGGCAAATGTTCCTAGCCCTTTTGCTGATGCGTACTCCTTACATAATTGTTCTGCTTTCTGATATACTGAAATGTAATGGAAATAAATATCTTAAAATATCTAAAATTGTGAGAAAAAAAAACACAACCCAAAGGCCTAACAGAAGCTTTCAATCTTGCCAGTTTGTGAATATAACTGATTTATAAGACAGTAATTTCTATACATTTGTATATAGAAAAGGCAAATAGAAATTATACTACTTTTTTCATTCCTTTATGCCACATCAAGTTAATCTGTATTATTCTCATCCCCAATACACTGTCTACAAATACCTCTCTTTTTTCTATTTTGATATTTTATTGTCTAAACTGTAAAACTGTATTCATTCTCAGATAACTCCACTTCTACGGTTTGTATTTTAAAAAACTGTACCCACATAATTGACATCAATAGTAAGTACAAAAGTTGTCATGAAAATGTTGTTCATGACAATGAGGTCAAGGTTAGATAAATCCTGTCAGACTGACATGTACACCTTACAATTATTCCATACACTAAATATTGTTTACCTTTTGCTTCAGGTAATTGAAAATCAGACCAAAACACAAAAACTTAACTTTGACCAATCAACCATGAAATTGAGGTCAAGTTCAGATGATACCTGCCAGACAATCATGTACACCTTACAATCATTCCAAACTCCATATACATTTGACATACGTTACAATATCTGAGAAATGGATCTAATCACTGATTCATGAAATGAGGTTGATGTCAGGTGAACCCTGTCTAACGGACATGTAGACATTGCAAGGAACCCATATAGTTATCCTATTACTCATTATAAGTGAGAAGTTCACAAGACAAATAAAGTGCTTCGCTGAGCGCAGCTGGATACGCCCGCAGAGGTCCAACTCTGAACAGTTGGGGCAAAAATGGACACAATATTCAAGCTTGATACAGGTCTGAATTTGGATTGTAATTAAATATTTGACATATTACAGGTTTCTGAATAAATGTAGTCAAAGAACTTGAAATTGGTTATACAAAATGAATTTATATTCAATTAAAGATTTCTTGCTGTTGTGCAATACACTGTGCTGTTGCGCAATACTTAGTAAATCTGTTGTCAGACTATAAACAAATAAAGTTCAATTAATTCTCAATGTCATATTAGAAATTTATGAAAATCAAAAGGGAGCTTACATCAATAGATATAAACAATTCACCAAAGTTTCATGAGAATTGCTGACAGCATTTTTGAGTTATTGTCCGAAAACTGGAAAATCCCCACTTTTTTAATGAATATAACCCCATAACTCAGAAATGTAAAATGTAAAATTTATAAAATTCTAAAGGGAGCTTACTTACATAGATATAAACAATTCACCATAGTTTCATAAGAACTGCTGAAAGCATTTTTGATTTTTTGTCCGAAAACTGGAAAATCCCACTTTTTTTATGAATAAAACCCTGTAACTCGGAAACATAAAATCTAAAATTTATAAAAATCGAAAGTGAGCTCATGTCAATAGATATAATCAATTCACCACTATTTCTTGGAAGTTGGTGAAAGCATTCTTGAGTTATTGTCCGAAAATTGGAAAATCCCCCTTTTTTTAATGAATAAAACCCCACAACTCAGAAACGTAAAATTTATAAAAAACGAAAGAGAGCTCACGTCAATAGATATAAACAATTCACCAAAGTTTTATGCAAATTGGTTAAAGCGTTTTTGAGTTAATGTCCGACATGTTGACGACGGACGGACAGACGGACAGAGGTATACCATAATACGTCCCGTAAACGGGCGTATAAAAACTAAAAGCTGAAGCATCCACGTCTTCTACCTTCTGAAATGTAAAGCTTTATACAAATAGTTTACATCGCTGCCGCTGAATGGTAATATATGTCTCACATACGAGACAAAAAACAAAACACTATTTTCCTATAATTATTCCAATGGAACAAGTGATGATTTCATGAGACTTTTTTCTTTTTCAGTATTAAGATTTAAGAGTTTCACAGGTGAAAGATTTTTTTTGGATTCATTTGGTATGGAAATTTCTCTTTAATGGAGACCTTAAAGTGACTTTACAGTTAATGTTTTTCATTTAATGTTCTCAAAATTCATTTCAGAGCATACAATACAGTAGCAAGGGGGGTTAATTATGCATTTAAAATGAACATGTTAATTTACAAGGTTGCTAATGATAAGCATCCAAAATTCGAGAAAACAATCACTAGCTTCATCAAATTTGTTACATGAATTTGAAAGTATTTGCAAAGGAAAACAAACATGTTGTATATTTAAGCACTTGAAATCTACTGCAGGCAATAAACTTCTAGGCAAATGAAGACTGTTTATTTTTCTATCGACTCCTTTCAAAATAGTTGTTTGGCACTGAATTGTGCAAATCATCACTGATAGAAACCTTTGATATAAATAAATTTGATTTAAATCTGGCAAGAATTGTGCATACAACAGCGCTTACAAGACTGGACACCTGTATTTTCACAGTATTGTGCGGGGGACAAAAAAAACTTTCACATAATCTTTGGTATCTACTAGTATTGTGCACCTCACTTTTACTTTTTTTATCCAACTTATTTTTAAAGTAAATATGGTAACATGGATTTTGTGAAATATATATCAATATGGGAAAGGGGTATGAATTTGTGAGCTCTGTCAGTTTTTCAGTTATACCTACATTTCAATCCCTCTTGAAGGCCTCTTATTGCCTCCCCACATTTATCTTCAGCTAATAGTGCTTCTCCATTATAACTGTAAGCCTGAAATATTTTGAAAAATCATTTATATATACAAAATTATATACCTAAATTTTAACAATTTAAGCTGTGTCCATCATAGCAATTCATCAGTATATACTTTTTATAACACTGACACACAATTTTTCTAACATATTTAATCAGTATACACCTTTCATAACACTGACATAACTTTTCTAACACATTTAACCATTGTACACTTTCAATGACACTGATTGACAAAAAGTATTCTATAAACAGGCTTTCTGATACTCTAAGAGCCAAAGTACAATTTTACTCAGACAGATTTCAAGAGAATATTTTCAAATATTCATTAACAAGTTATTGTGAACTGTTCTGTTCTTTACTAAGTCCCAAAATAAACTTACTGTAGAGGTATAAAAGGCTGATTTTAGTTGAAAATATTTTCTCCACTTTCCCACAATCTTTTCGTCTAAACTGTTCAGGGCGTCATCTGAAATCAAATAATTCATTAAAAGTAAAGTAACAAGGAGGTACTTTATAATTGAATGTCTTGAAAATCATTTTTGAATGATAGCAACATTATTTACTAAGTCCATCTGGTTTAATTGCACTTTTTAACTCTAATCACTGATGTTCAGTCTTGCTACTAGTATTGTCAATGGTGCCTTGTTACTATCTAAATGCATGTTATGCTAATTATACCAATGACTTGTTGGGCAACAAATAACAGTACCGTATTTGTAAGAACATTTCATCAGCTATTCATACAATTTATCAATAGGAATAATTCTTCAAGAAAAGAATCCATAAATATCAAGACAAAACGAGAATGACATTTGGAAAACCACATTGAAACAATAGGCTTCCAGGATATTGATCAATCATTTAGTAAAATATGAAACATTAAAGTTGTTGGCAACAATGGAAACCCTCTTTCACACACTTAAGTTACCAGGTTTGATCCTGATCCACCCGTAAGTAGAACTCATCATGCTGATTGTTTAATATGTTCACAGTTTCTCTCTATTGACTATAGTTTTCTCCAAAAAACACAAAAGAGGATAAAATTCATCATTGCAGGGCAAAAACTTCTAAAAGTTTAGGAGGTGATTGACAATTTCGTGCTTTGTAGATTTTCTTGTCTGGCTGATCATTTTTACTGTTTACAGTTTCTATCTTTTGTAGTCAATTTCAGATAAAGTCAAATGAAACAAGTTTCTTTTAATTTCAATGTTATCGAAAATTATTGAACCAATGCATGCATATCCTGTATGCATGTATTTTATATTTATAATATTACGAATCTATAACGTATTATCGTCAAATAATATTTCATTCAGTGATTGTTGATCGCAAGCTTATTAACTTTCAAGTTTATTGCTGAAGTTTACCGGGTCACCCGGTCGTGACATTCATAAACAATCAACACAGAGCAAGTAGAGCATGTGACAAGTAAGTAAATTGATAGAGCCTTGATATATTTTTTATATTTTCAATACATTCCCATTTGTTAAATAAACTTTTCTTTAACAGTTGTTAAATGATTTGTTGTATTAAATTTGTTCTTTAAGAATCAGTTATTACTATTTACATTCCATTGCACAAGTGTTTACATTCTTCCATCACAGTTTTCCTTCGCACTTGTGCTGTGTGGTGTCTGAAGTTCTATCGAGAGGTCTCATAGTTAAGGTCACTGCATACAGGAAAATATATCGCTGAATTAGAGTATGGGAAGACAATAATTCAATATCAGTACATTTATAAGATCTTATAAAGATTTTTGTAAAATAAACTGAAAATTTTGAATAAGTTTTGTTAATAATCTTATAATTTACTCCTACACTACCTGCTCTTTGGTACATCTGTGCAGTCTCATAAGCAAGAGCAGCTATTAAACTTGGCTGGTGTTTTAGTTCTATAGCCCTTGCTATTGTTACTAAAATGAAAAGTAAAAATAAATATACACTTCATCAAATTTGCACTAGCGTCTCTATTGATCACCATTAGATTTCAGTTTGTGTAAAGCCCTTTTATACACATGTCATGTAAACTAAGAACTTTATACTTTGTGGTTTTCAGTTATTCTGTACTGTGGATTTATTCATGAGATACCAATTTTTGTGGATTTCAATTAAACCAAGAACTTTTAAAAATGTTCAACGAAGCACACATTTTGTAAAGGCTTCTATACAGACTTTGGAAAATCCACGAAATCTAATATCCACAAAAATACAACTTTTCCTCAATCCATGAAAATTGGTATCCACGAAAAAATAAATCAATCCACCGTATTATATTGTAGCCCAAAATATTCTGTTATGTTGGATTGCCTAATAATAATTCTTTTTTTATTCATACTTGTGTGATAAAACTAGAAACAAAACTTCAATGTTTGGCATATTCTCTACAATTCACAAATTTTTTTTTAGTTCAACAGAAATGAATAAAGCAAGTAACAACTAAAAAACTGAAAGCAGAGATCACAATTCCACCATTTGTTTAGATATGGTACATTCATGTTTTACTTTGTAAAATCACCAAAATTATACAGATTAAAAAATATATAAATGTGGATAGTGTCCACATGTGGACACAGATGATGCTCCCACTTGCATAGCATATAGTTATAAAGGGACATAACTGAAGAACGGTAAAAGTGACGCTACCCAAATTTGAACTTGATCTGAGTTTTGTGGTAACAAGCATTGTGTGTAAGTCTCATAACATTTAGTTGAGGCGAACTTAAGTAGAGAACAGAAACTAAAAACTCAGCAATTTTTCTATTTGTAAACACGCATAACTCTAGAACGGCAAGAGTTGTGTATAAGTTTTATAACATTTGGTTGAGACAAACTAAAGTTAGAGAACGGAAATGAAAAATTAAGCAATTTTTATGTTTATAAAGGGACATAACTCAAGAATAGTAAAAGTGTTCTCACCAAATTTCGTACTTAATCTGTATTATGTAGTAATAAGCATTGTGTTTAAGTTTCATAACATTTGGTTGAGGCAAACTAAAGTTAGAAAACGGAAACAAAAAATTTGTACTTGATCATAGTTTTGTGGTAATGAATATTGTGTATAGGTTTCATAATGTTTGGTTGGGGCAAACTTAAGATATACAATGGAAACTAAAAATTTTGCAATCTATGATTTATAAAGGGGCATAACTCAATAATGGTTAAAGTGACACTACCCAAATTCGACTTGATCTGTGTTTTATCAGTGGAAGTCAAAGTTAAACATTGCATTGTATAAAGCATTGATTGTAGTTAATTCAACTATAATCATGCACAAAGGAAGATAACTCCAATTTTAAGAATTACTTGATATTTAGAAGAAAATAAAATTTTTGCAATTTTTCCATTTATAAAGGGGCATAACTCTAGAACGTTTAAAGTCACGCCACCAAAATTCAAACTTGGTCTGTGTTTTGTGGTAATAAGCATTGTGTGTAAGTTTCATAACATTTGGTCGAGGTAGACTTAAGTTAGAGAACGGAAACTAAAAATTTTGCTATTTTTCCATTTATAAAGGGGCATAACTCTAGAACGGTTAAAGTCACGCCACCAAAATTCAAATTTGATCTGTGTTTTGTGGTAATAAGCATTGTGTATAAGTTTCATAACATTTGGTTGAGGCAAACTCAAGTTAAAGAACGGAAACCAATTTTGGGACGTACGTTCATACGTACGTACTTACAGACGGACAAGGGTAAAACTTAAAGCCCCCACTGCTATGGTGGGGGCATAAAAAAGAGATGCAGAATGGCTTTAAATAAACAAAGCCCAAGAGCATTGTAAAGGCATTGCTGCCAAGTCAATGATTTTGTGACTTCTAGTTTTCATCCTTTGGTAAAAGAATAACACCTAACATAAGACTATATTTGATTAAATTCAGAAAAGGCTATTGACAATTGAGTTTTAAAAATTGAAACCTTGCATTTAATACAGATCTCATAAAGGTAACTTAAAATAACCCTCAGTCTAAGCCATTTCCATACTACCATATATGTACTTGTATATCTTGTGCTTCCGCTTAATACAGATCTCATTGAGGTCATTAAAAATAACCCTCAGTCTAAGCAATTGCCCTTCTATTATATTGTTACTGCAGTATTAACATGTGTAAATTACATACAGTCAACTCTCGTTATCTCGAAGTCAGTTGGAATAGAGAAATAATTCAAGATACTCATAGTTCGATTCAAACGAATACCAGAAGTTTGACAGACCAAGGGACACAACTCTTGCTTAGGTTGGTAAGGCTAAAATAAATCCAGATGAATGTGGGAAGAGGATTGATATTCTGGTCGTGAGATCAATGTATCTGTATGTAATGTTCTTTATTATTATAACAAAATTATATGATTTTCGTCTCTTATTCATTTCTTTGTACAATTACAATTTATTCCGGTGGTTTTTACCGAGAGAGTAATTCACAATCTATCCTAGCGTTATTTAAAGTTGATATAATTGTTCATTCTCGTATACAAGAGATCTAAGAAAATTTAGATTTCTTTTCATTTTCTTTCATTCAATCTTTTTCTTCAAAATAAAATACAAAAAGATTAAAGATGCTGATTGAGTAGTTTTGAGTTGATCACTAAGTCTTAATCCCTACTTAATGCAAAATCAAGCTCATTAATCATGTTAATGTATGATTACAGTTTATTGCTTTTCAAACATTTTTCTATAACAATGTAATCACTAATTTTTTATCATAGTGATCAAAGATAATCTTAGGTAAATACTAGTGGAAAAAGAATGTCATAAATTAATAAAGTGGTCAGTGACTGGAAATTTGATTACACGTGTATTATCAGGTGAACTCTTCAATCCATTTAAATCCACAGGTCAAGGATTGACATATGTGTATTAGTCTGAGATAAATAATGCAATTTGAATGCTTTTGTTTACCTTAGGACCCTAAATTTGGTAAGGTTCATCCGAAATTTCGACTCATCAGGAGTCAACATACATATATTTATATGGAACAAATTTCGGTGCCACGGGAAAACTACGACATCCCAAATTCCGAGTTGACCGATTTCACGATGAGAGTCAACTGTAGTTGTGTTTATATTTTCCCATGTTGTCTTTGTTCAACACTTTGCAGAATTAAGATGTCCGTTGTTATGTTCTGTTCCATATTTTACATAAGGAATGGCTAACCTGGACCTAACATTATTAAATGACTTCCTTAAATCTATGTATCAACTTTATTTAGTAGTGTAATTGTTCATTTTTGTGTTTGCTTACATTTACTTTCATTGTAATGTGCCAAATGTTATGTTACGTGTTCCTGTTCTTGTTTATGAATAGCTTCAGTATTACATCACAAGTAAACGATGTTTTAGTATGAATAGAAGAAGGCATGTTCTAGTAAAAATAGCGGAAGGCATGTTGGAGAATCTCCTCACAGTTAGCAATAAATTTCAAACTATCATGATTTGCTGCACTTAGTAAAAGTGCTTGGTGGAAATATTCAATAGACTTGAAAATTTAACCAAGTCTCCATATCAAAATGCTGACGTACTGTTTGCTGGGGGTAAATCCTTAAGAATGCACAAAGTATGCACAGTAATAGAATACAGTGACCCAAGTAGATTTTCCTGCACCAAGTGGTAGCAGAATTGTTTTATCAAACTTGGTGCAAGTAATCCATCTAGCTGTAATATATATATATACATATATACTTTATGTCATGTCGTATGTTTTAGGAACCACTATCCTTGTTTTATGAATATTACTGACGCAGGAAATAATACTTTACATATGAACATCCATTATGATTTTTGTCAAGCCTGCGACTTTTGTCGCAAAAGCGAGACATAGCGATCCTACATTCCGTCGGCGGCGTCCACAAATATTCACTCTGTGGTTAAAGTTTTTGAAATTTTAATAACTTTCTTAAACTATCCTGCATTTCAACCAAACTTGGACAGAGGCTTGTTTATGATCATAAGATAGTATCCAGAAGTAAATTTTGTAAACAAAAAATCCTGTTTATCCGTATTTTACTCATAAATGGACTTAGTTTTTCTGCCAGTTAACATTACATTCACTCTGTGGTTAAAGTTTTTCAAACTTTAATAACTTTCTTATACTATCCTGGATTTGTACCAAACTTGGACAGAAGCTTGTTTGTGATCATTAGATAGTATTCAAAAGTAAATTTTGTTATAAAAAATCCAGTTGATCCGTATTTTACTTATAAATGGACTTAGTTTTTCTGCCAGTTAACATTACATTCACTCTGTGGTTAAAGCTTTTAAAAATTTAATAACTTTCTTAAACTATCCTGGATTTGTACCAAACTTGGACAGAAGCTTGTTTATGATTAAAAGCTAGTATCTAGAAGGAAATTTTTAATAATTTTTTCTCCATTTTTGTTGAGCCTGCGACTAACAGCAAAAGTAGGCTAGACACTGGGTTCCACGGAACCCTTACAAATTTTTATTATTACTTCCTTCACTGGAGGTCCACATAAGTCACATGTAATCATGACCTGAAAAGCCAGTGAATTCTGACTCTAAAACCCTGTATCATTACAACTTGTACCTACCTTCTTGTGCTTCAGCAGTACACTGGTTTATATAGGCTTCCATAATACGACCTTCAGTATCCACAGCATTATCAGTACTGTTACCAGCAAGTTTACCAACTAACTCATCCTGAAAACGATTTCCAAGAACTATTATTTTTGCAAACACAACAGAAATAAGTGTTCATTTCCATATCATTGAAATGACAATGTACAATATCCTGAATTTGAACTGAAATAACTTCATGCAAAATGCCAGTAAATGTCTATTGTTTTAAATGCTTTCAAATTAAAACATAAGAATATATCCTTACGGGAAATATCGACCAAACAGCCTATTGTTCATGCATATTATCTAGCGCAACTTGAATCTATGACATTGGTTTCTGCTGGGCATAAAGTGGCAGATTATCACATACTTATCAGATGTCTTGTCAAGAGATTGAGCTGCCTAAAATAGCTAGTAAACATTAAACAAAAGTGAACACAAAATATAATACATGTAACCTTCACAGTATACAGTGTACAGTCAACTGCAAATATTTAATATTTTAGTGTATACATTGGCAAAGGAGAAGGTTAACAAAGAACTATAAATTAAATTGACAAAATGTATTAAAACAAAAAAGTTGCATTGACTTTTGTCACTTGTTCCATTCTTCTGGGAAGGGGGAGGATTTTAAGAAGTCAATTCTTTAATGAGAAATGAATTCAGAATTTCACATTTGAAAAACCAAAATATTTCTAATTTAACTTATACTGGAAACATAATACTTCTGGTTATAAAGTTTAACATAGAATTTTTTTAATTTCAAGAAGCTGAAAATAGAAAGATTGCAATCTTCCTTCATTGATTTTCAGTGCCAGCAATTGTGTATGTTTGAAAAATGAAAATATAAATTCATGGCAAATATGAGATTAGTGAGTTTCCTTGTGATTATACAGACGACTTTTAGTTGGAACCTGTATGTATTTAGTATATCATTTAAAACTGTTTGCCAAGATATAAAAAAAATCCAAAATCGTACCTTGGCATATGTAAATATACCAGCAGCTACACGTAGACAGGTGTGGACTTCTTTAGCTTCTTCCATGTCTGGTCTGAAAAAGAAAATCCAACAATAACATATCACAGAAACTAAACATAATCATTAGAGAGAACTAAGACACAACATGGATGTTTGATGACAAGGGGTCACTACATTTGTATAGTACTAGTAGTGTCGTAAAGTTTCATCAATATTCATCTGTCTGTTTAGTTGTTAAATTGCTCTTACAAGGTACATGGCCAGACAGACTGACTGATAGGGTGATTCCTATATACCCCTTTAATTTTTTTTATTTTGAAAGGGGCATAAAACATATATATCATGTAAAACAATAAGGTTTTCATCTGTAAAGTTCAAGAAGATTAAGGTAGACATTCCAAGTGACAAACATATAAAAGCTTAATTTAATTGAAATTAAATAAATAGTGATAAATTCCATTCAACAACCTGTATTTTTTAACAAATAAATGAGGAATGTGTCCATGGGACACAGATGATGCCCCCGCTTACATATCATATTAAGTTATAAAGGGACATAACTGAAGAACAGTAAAAGTGATTCTACCAAAATTTGTACTTGATCTGAGTTTTGTAGTAATAAGTATTGTGTATAAGTTTCATAACATTTGGTTGAGGCAAACTAAAGTTAGAGAACGGAAACAAAAAATTCAGCAATTTTTCCGTTTGTAAAATGACATAACTCTAGAACGGTTAAAGTGACACTACCAAAATTCATACTTGATCTGTATTTTGTAGTAATAAGCATTGTGTACAAGTTTCATAACATTTGGTTGAGGTAAACTTAAGTTAGAGAACGGAAAGGACAAATTCAGCAATTTTTCCATTTGTAAAGGGGCATAACTCTAGAATGGTCAAAGTGATGGCACCAAAATTCAAACTTGATCTGTGTTTTGTGGTAATAAGCATTGTGTATAAGTTCCATAACATTTGGTTGAGGCAAACTAAAGTTAGAGAACGGAAACCAACTATGGGATGTACGTACGTACTTACAGACGTACAGACTGACAAGGGTAAAACTTAATGCCCCCTCCGCTATGGCAGGGGGCATAAAAACACAACATGTATAACATTGTTGAATTATCATGTTTATTTGGTGAGAGAACTTAACCTGACCCGTCTATGTTCAGGCCCTGAAACATGAAAATGATGTCAGACCCAGGTGAAAATGACATGCTTAAAAGGCATCATTATGAACAACCTTCATCCAAATCTAGTGTGGATAAAATGAACAAAAATCTAAAAAAATGTTAAAAAGGTTTCAGAAAACTAAAGAGGAGATGTCAGATGAGTGGAGAATCATATACTTTTGGCAGGGGTAGGTATTTAATATGCAGCAGACCTATTACTGGGACATACACATCTGTTATATTACCATATATAGCAACTCATCCAGAAGCTATACAGAACTTATTCATGGTTTTTAGTTGGTCTGCTTCATGTTTCATACTGGTAGTTATGACTGCAATGTTATAATTGCATTGGGTATCAAATGTATTTAATCTTTTAGTTACACAGTCATTCCCAAGCCAAAAGTTATTGTGACATAGTTTGGCATATAAATCTTTCATTGTATGTTACTATCTGAAAAAGCATTTTGTAATTTAAAGACAACTTAACCATGTTAATTATATATAAATACTTACGTTTCTTTTGCAGCTAATTTAGCAGCATGTTTTGTATACCATAAAGCAACATTAATGGCCATATGTGCAGCCTCAAATGCTGTGTCCCACTGTTCTCTGAAAAAAATTGTTACAAAACTAAGGCTGTAACTTGCTAAGGCATTCTAAAGCTACTATAAACAGATGATAAAGTTTACATCTGGATCTTCTGACAGTGTTCAGGTACCAAGCTAACAAAGTTGATAATGGACATCTTGGACCTCTGACAGTAATTGTATACATGTACCAGCTTTACAGTTAACCATGTTTACACTAAGAGTCGTAAAGTCCATTTTATATTATATGCATTAATAGGTGACAATAAAATGCTCCACTGGGGCGCAGCTTGATACAACCGCAGAGGTCGAACCCTGAACAGTTGGGGCAAGTATGGACACAACATTCAAGCTTGATACAGCACTGAATTTGGATTGTAATTAAATATTTGACACAGCATAGGTTTCTGACACAGAATGAATGTGGTCTAAGAACTTAAAAATTTTTAATTTATCTATTCAAACCATATCATTATTATTTGCTTTTATATATAAATCAGAAATAACCAATTTAAAATGGAAAATTTTAAAGAAAAAAAAATCCCCCCCCCCAAATTTTTTGAACCCCCTTATGATTCATCACCCCCAAACTCAATCCCAGCCTTCCCTTTGTGGTATGGTACCTTGCAGTACTGTTACTGAACAATTTCAGAGAGATCCGTACACTTGAAAACAAGTTGTTGTCTGGAAACTAGAAAAATGCTTGTTTTTTGGCCCCTTTTTGGCCCCAAATTCCTAAACATTTAGGGCAATTACCCCCAAACTCAAACCCAGCTTTCCCTTTGTGATATGGAACCTTGCAGTACAATTTCATAAAGATCCATACACTTACACACAAGTTATTGTCCTGAAACTAGAAAAATGCTTGTTTTTTTTGCCCCTTTATGGCCCCTAATTCCTCAAATTTCTAGGGAATTACCTCCAAAATCAATCCCAGCCTTCCCTTTGTGGTATGGTACCTTGCAGTACAATTTCAGAGAGATCCATACACTTGAACACAAGTTATTGTCTGGAAACTAGAAAAATGCTTATTTTTGGCCCCTTTTTCCTAAACGTTGTGGGCAATTACCCCCAAAATCAATTCCAGCTTTCCCTTTGTGATATGGAACCTTGTAGTACAATTTCATAAAGATCCATACACTTACACACAAGTTGTTGTCATGAAACTAGAAAAATGCTTGTTTTTTGCCCCTTTTTGGCCCCTAATTCCTAAAATTTGGAGGCAATTACCCCCAAAATCAATCCCAGCATTCCCTTTGGGATATGGAACCTTGTGGTACAATGCCAGAGAGGTCCATACACTAACACACAAGTTATGTCTGGAAGTTACAAAAATGCTTATTTTTGGCCCCTAATTCCTTAACGGTTGGTACCATAACCACCAAAATCAATCCCCACCTTCCTTTTGTGGTATTGAACCTTATGGTAAAATTTCATAGAAATCCATTCACTTAAACTAAAGTTAGAGTGGGAAAACCAATGTGTCTTCGGACGACGACGCCAACGTCATACCAATATACGACCACAAAATTTTTTTGCGGTCATATAAAAACATGAACAGATAGTTTAAATGAAATGGTTCAGCAAGACTAGCTAATTTTAAAATGGAAGAACAAAAATATAGAATACGCAAAGAACAAATCAAAATGTATAATATGATAACATAGACATCAATATTTTGCATGTTTTCTGCAAGATTTTGTTCAGTTTCTGCAGGAAGATAAGGTCATGATCATTAAGCCCCCAAAATGGTCTCATAACTTTCGAAAAGTATATTTTTTAACAGATATCAATATATATAACATATGCTGTAGGCATTATACAATGTCTTTCAAGTTAGGCATTATACAATGTCTTTCAAGTTTCACATTAGATACCATACAATGTACATGTGAAGGGCACTCTTGCCACTGTATCCTTTCAAAACTGTCATTTCATGACATTTTTACCTATGATAAAATTGAGAATGGAAATGGGGAATGTGTCAAAGAGACAAAAACCCGACCATAGAACAGACAACAGCAGAAGGTCACCAACAGGTCTTCAATGCAGCGAGAAATTCCCGCACCCGGAGGCGTCCTTCAGCTGGCCCCTAAACAAATATATATACTAGTTCAGTGATAATGAACGCCATACTAAACTCCAAATTGTACACAAGAAACTAAAATTAAAAATAATACAAGACTAACAAAGGCTAAGAGGCTCCTGACTTGGGACAGGCGCAAAAATGCGGCGGGGTTAAACATGTTTATGAGATCTCAACCCTCCCCCTATACCTCTAGCCAATGTAGAAAAGTAAACGCATAACAATACGCACATTAAAATTCAGTTCAAGAGAAGTCTGAGTCTGATGTCAGAAGATGTAACCAAAGAAAATAAACAAAATGACAATAATACATAAATAACAACAGACTACTAGATGTCTGTTTGTTTTGCTCACTCATTGTTGTCAATATAATTGAATTCTATGCGACTGTCATACAAGAGAGCGGTTAAGCTAGCTATAAAACCAGGGTTAACCACCATTTTCTACATAAGGAAATGCCTGTACCAAGTCAGGAACATGACAGTTGTTTTCCCTTTGTTTGAAGTGTTTGAGCTTTTTGATTTTGCCATTTGACAATGGACTTTCTGTTTTGAATATTCCTTGGGAGTTCAATATTTTTGTTATTTTACTTTTTTCAGCAGAAAATGGTAATTAACAAATTTTACTAGTAAAATAACACAATTTTTAAATCAAGTATACAGGACCACTTCCAAACATCAAAATATTTCAGCGAATACAAAACAGTTAAAATTTTCCTTTAGTTTGTTTGAAGTTCTCCAGTTGACATATTTATTCAATCACTTTGAATGTTTGACCAAAGTAACTATTAAAGCTTGTCAATTTTCAGTGACTTTTGGCTGTCAGACTAGAATGACCTTCTAAAATCAGAAAAGAGAACAAATTTAACCTCTTTTTTAAATTTTTTTATACAAATTGTCACACATACATAATGCAATAAAATGCTTCGCTGGGCGCAGCTTGATACGACCGCAGAGGTCGAACCCTGAACAGTTGGGGCAAGTATGGACACAACATTCAAGCTTGATACAGCTCTGAATTTGGATTGTGATTAAATATTTGACACAGCATAGGTTTCTGACACAGAAAGAATGTGGTCTAAGAACTTGAATTTTTTTAATTTACCTATTATGGTCCAATGTCCAAAATCAAAATACATGGTTAGATTCAGCATATCAAAGAACCCCATATATTCAATTTTTGTTGAAATCAAACAAAGTTTAATTTTGGACCCCAACTTGGACAAACTTGAAAACTGGTCCCATAATCAAAAATCTAAACACATGTTTAGATTCAGCATATCAAAGTACCCCAAGAATTCAATTTTTGTTAAAATCAAACTAAGTTTAATTTTGGACCCTTTGGACCTTAATGTAGACCAATTTAAAAAACGGGACCCAAAATTAAAAATCTAAAAACACGGTTAGATTTGGCATATCAAAGAACCCCAATAATTCAATTTTTGATGAAATCAAACAAAGTTTAATTTTGGACCCTTTTGACCTCAATATGAACCAATTTGATAGCAGGCCCACAAAATAAAAAATCTAAATACATGGTAAGATTCAGCATATCAAAGAACCCCATATATTCAATTTTTGTTGAAATCAAACAAAGTTTAATTTTGGACCCCAATTTGGACCAACTTGAAAACTGGGCCAAAAATCTAAAATCTAAATACATGTTTAGATTCAGCATATCAAAGAACCCCATATATTCAATTTTTGATGAAATCAAACAAAGTTTAATTTGGGACCCCAACTTGGACCAACTTGAAAACTGGTCCCATAATCAAAAATCTAAACACATGTTTAGATTCAGCATATCAAAGAACCCCAAAAATTCAATTTTTGTTAAAATCAAACTAAGTTTAATTTTGGACCCTTTGGACCTTAATGTAGACAATTTAAAAAACGGGACCCAAAATTAAAAATCTAAATACACGGTTAGATTTGGCATATCAAAAAACCCCAATAATTCAATTTTTGATGAAATCAAACAAAGTTTAATTTTGGACCCTTTTGACCTCAATATGAACCAATTTGATAGCGGGTCCACAAATAAAAAATCTAAATACATGGTTAGATTCAGCATATCAAAGAACCCCAAGAATTCAATTTTTGATGAAATCAAACAAAGTTTAATTTTGGACCCTTTTGACCTCAATGTGGACAAAGTTGATAACGGGGCCCAAAAATCAAAAATCTAAATACATGGTTAGATTCAGCATATCAAAGAACCCCATATATTCAATTTTTGTTGAAATCAAACAACGTTTAATTTTGGACCCCGATTTGGACCAACTTGAAAACTGGGCCCATAATCAAAAATCTAAATACATGTTTAGATTCAGCATATCAAAGTACCCTAAAAATTCAATTTTTGTTAAAATCAAACTAAGTTTAATTTTGGACCCTTTTGACCTTAATGTAGACCAATTTGAAAACGGAACCAAAAATTAAGAATCTAAATACACGGTTAGATTCGGCATATCAAAGAACCCCAATAATTCAATTTTTAATGAAATCAAACAAAGTTAAATTTTGGACCCTTTGGACCTCAATGTGGACCAATTTAAAAACGGGGCCCAAAATCCAAAAACTTAATACACGGTTAGATTCAGCATATTAAAGAACCCCAAGAATTCAAGAATAAAACCCCATTGAAATTGATCAAGAAATAAGCAATTTATACGAAGTATCTTCTTTTGCACAATACTGTGCAATTGAATATTTCTTGCTATTGTGCAATACTGTACAATTGACAATTTCTTGCTATTGCGCAATATTGTGCTATTGCGCAATACTGTGCAATTGAAGATTTCTTGCTATTGCGCAATACTGTGCAATTGAAGATTTCTTGCAATTGTGCAATACTGTGCAATTGAAATATTCTTGCTATTGCACAATACTTATTATATAATAATTTACACATCCTGTTTGGTGTGTATCTCCTACCATATCATTATTATTTGCTTTTAAATATTAATCAGAAATAACCAACTTAAAATGGAAAATTTTAAAAGAAAAAAAAAAGTAAAAAAGAAAAAAAAAGAAAAAAAAATTCCCCCCCCCCCCAAATTTTTTGAACCCCCTTATGATTCATCACCCCCAAACTCAATCCCAGCCTTCCCTTTGTGGTATGGTACCTTGCAGTACAATTTCAGAGAGATCCATACACTTGAACACAAGTTATTGTCTGGAAACTAGAAAAATGCTTATTTTTGGCCCCTTTTTGGCCCCCAATTCCTAAACGTTTCGGGCAATTACCCCCAAACTCAATTCCAGCTTTCCCTTTGTGATATGGAACCTTGTAGTACAATTTCAGAAATATCCAAACACTTACACACAAGTTATTGTCATGAAACTAGAAAAATGCTTGTTTTTTGCCCCTTTTTTGGCCCCTAATTCCTAAAATTTGAAGGCAATTACCCCCAAAATCAATTACAGCCTTCCCTTTGTGATATGGAACCTTGTGGTACAATGTCAGAGAGATCCATACACTTACACACAAGTTATTGTCTGGAAGTTACAAAAATGCTTATTTTTGGCCCCTTTTTGGCCCCTAATTCCTTAACTGTTGGTACCATAACCCCCAAAATCAAGTCCGGGGTCATGTCAGGTCACAGCCCGGACTCACCTGTTCAAGATTGTGTATTACATCGTTGACCTTCCTTTCGTGGTATTGAACCTTATGGTAAAATTTCATGGAGATCCATTCACTTAAACTAAAGTTAGAGTGCGAAAACCAATGTGTCTTCGGACGACGCCGGACGACGCCAGACGACGACGACGACGCCAACGTCATACCAATATACGACCAAAAAATTTTCAATTTTTGCGGTCGTATAAAAAGTTTGCTTCAATTTAGATCTTAATATTCATCAAAATTTGTTGGCTCAATTGGGTCTTTAATGACTCCTTCTGCATGTTACGATTCTCAGATTCTTCTTACAGTAACATTGCATATAAATTGAACTAATAATAATAATAAAATGTATATACTAAAAGTCTGTGTACATGTATTATTCTGTACAAAAATACAAAAAAATAAATTTCACTTACTGAGTAACATTTCCAAGAAGACTGTTAGTCCATTTAAATTTCAAAGCTTTTCTTAGTTTATTTTCTCCCTCATCAAAGGGTTGTATAAGTCCCAACAGCAGAGAGAAGTAATCTGTTGTTGCTTTGTCAATAGAACTTTTATCATGGTTTGGATCAGGTAGAAGCTCTAGTAATTTGTTCCTTGTTTGTCTTAATTCACTACAAAATTCAAAAGTACATTTATTGTCTATTAATAAATGTACTTTAATTGACTAATTTTCTGCATAAAAAAATAATTTTCGTCTGAAAAAAAAAATCAAATTTTACTCACCAAATTATTTATCCTTAATGCACACTCTACTTTAAGTTTTTCCTTATACATAATGGAAATAAATCATAATCATGATAATGCCTACCTTATCCTATTTAAAACACCAGCTGATTTGGATTTTTAGAAAAAAAAAAAACTCAGGGATTATTATTTATCAATATATATGAAATTTCCTCTTTTCCTCAAGAGAACCCTTTTAAAAGCTTTAACAGAGTCTATCTATGTCACTTTCTAGTTGGGAGAGTTACTTCAAGATGACTAGATAAATTTGACATTAAAATATTATTATATAATTTAAATAAAAATAAATGTGTCCGATGGACACAGATGATGCCCCCAATTGCACATCATATGAAGTTATAAAGGGACATAACTGAAGAACTGTAAAAGTGATGCTACCCAAATTTGTACTTGATCTGAGTTTTGTGGTAGTAAGTATTGTTTATAAGTCTCATAACATTTGGTTGAGGCTAACTTAAGTTAGAAAACAGAAACGAAAAAGCAGAATTTTTCCATTTGTAAACTGGCATAACTCTAGAACAGTAAAAGTGACACCACCAATATTCAAACTTGATCTGTATTTAGTGGTAATAAGCATTGTGTATAAGTTTCATAACATTTGGTTAAGGCAAACTAAAGTTAGAGAACAGAAATGAAAAATTCAACAATTTTTATGTTTATAAAGGGGCATAACCCAAGAACGGTAAAAGTGACGCCACCCAGTTACAAACTTGATCTGTATCATGTGGTAATAAGCATTGTGAATAAGTTTCATAACATTTGGTTGAGGCAAACTAAAGTTGGAGAACGGAAACCAACTTTGGGACATACGTATGGACTGACGTACAGATGGAAAGGGTAAAACTTAATGCCCCCTCCACTACAGCGGGGGCATAAAAACCAGCATGACCAGGTTTAAACCATAATTTTCATAATAGACATAACATTCTATATAACGAATTCTGAAAAGCTGATATGTCTTTTATCTAATTCTTACTTGGTAGGGTGTACAGAATGGTGCTGTAGGTGTAAAAGGCACTAGTTTGAGGCTGAGACTACTATAACACAGAGATTGGTCACTTCCCGTACTGACCAGTCAAATAGTAATTAATTGTAAGTCTTCGATCACGTGACTCGGCACGTGACTCGCAATGATTGACAAGAAGGATTCGACCGCCATTTTTGACAGCGAAAGAGAAAATAATAATTAACAAATGTGGATTTATAAAGAGTGTTATGTTCCGGTAAGTGTGAATATAAGATTTGACATGTTCATAAATGTTGGTTTATAAGCACTTTAAATAAAATAAGTGCAGTTATAGACTTGAATTTACCGACCAAACCGGAAAGTAACCTCGAGTTATTATCAGTCAGTGGGACAGGGTCAATGAGCAACTCACCCATAACTTACATTCAGATGAACAATCTGTTTTCCGGATAATGTATGTGCAAGCCTTAGTAATTAACCGATGTAATGATGTAAAATTTGTAATTATATGAAATTCCAATTTTTCTGTATCAGTAAGTTCCCGCTGCAGAACTGAGAAACACACGAGACAAGTTGCACACACACAACATGAGGTCTGATAGGTGAATTTGTATTGTTAGTGAAAGAAATTTAGATTTATACTTGGTTCCCTTGATAATATATATGCAGTCTATACATGCTAGTATAATAATATTATGCAATGAAAATGTGTCACCATGTGAAATACCAGTACATCATGAGTTCCTAAATAGACGTATTTTTTTTTAAATAATTGACCCAAACATGATGTAAAAAGTACATGCACCTTTGGTCTGCATCCTTTATCAGTTTAACTATTTTGATCCATATTGACATGATTGGTCAATTACTGCTGAGTCTCAAGTCTCAGATTACTGTCTTAAAAATTAATGAATTGCCTATGCTATAAACTTGACAAAGATTATTTCTTTTTATTTATAATATATTCTTTATTGTAGGAATACCCCCAGAAAGAAATCACGCATTAGAAGAAGGGAGAAGTACTACAGGAGAAAATGACTTTTTTTAGTATTTTTTTTAATTTCATTGAATTTATCATGCTTGTCTTACATGTTACATGGAGAAATAAATATTTAAGTCTTTGAATATACATTTTTATTATTATATACATTAAAACTAAGACAGGAATGCAGAAATTCACTAACACGCTCAGTTTGGATAACAGTTCAATGAAAGAAAAAAAAACAAGTAACCACACATTTTTATATATTAAAGGAATAGCCACTTGAAGCAAACTTTAAGGAGATTTTTATATATTTTTGCTAATGATCATCAGACAACTCCTTTAGTCCAAATGAAGTTCAATGAAGTGGATGTAAGTTATTGGAATGCACCGTAATTACCTTCAACAATGAGAAAACCTATACCGTGCAGTCAGCTTCAAAAGTCCTCGACATGGAAAATATATAACAATTCACTAGAGAAAACGAAGTGTCTACAATAACAAAGCAATTTACGAAAATTCAAATATGACGGACATGACCCAACAGCAACCACTGAATTACAGGCTCCTGACTTGAGACTGGCACATAAAGAATGTGACAATGTTAAATATTTTTAGGCGCTCATCACCACCACTAGCATGGGACATTGGTGTAACGACATAACATAAAAACAAACTTTAAACATAATTTGAAAATAGTTCATTTCGGTTTAATCAGGCTGACTGTACATGAAATATTTGCCATTCACAAGCAGTTGTGAATCGAAGTTGAATTTACAGAAAGGTGACATCAATATATGCTATCATATTTAACATTCTTGTTTAGATCTGATATTGCTACCGTATTTATACATTCCGCATTATTTTTGGCTTCTCAGAATTTTCACATGGTAAACTGTCAGCAGTTACCCAACAAAAAAATGTTATAGGGAACCTTTTTACAAAGCATCATGCCGACAACAATTAACATGGTTTGTCACCAAACATTGAACAAGCACATTTATATTTGCTGTGGCTAAAAAATCTAAAGCAAATCACAACTCTTTTCATCTGAGTTGATCAATTATTAGGGTTACAAAAAGCATAGCGATATAACTAAAACATACGACACTTTAACAATAGACAATATTCAAATTTTCAAAAACTTTACGACTCTGTATTGAAGCACAAAATTTCTTGTCTGGGATTTTGAAAGGGGGCACATATTTCTGGTGTTGAAAAAATGTCATCGTAATTTACACTAATGTGGTTCTATTTATGTTAACATAGAGATAATTTGATTATTCAGTCACATAATGTTGAAGCTTCTTCGTTCTGATTTACATGCACTTGCGGTTGATGCTTCTTTTGGAGTTTTTGTAGTTTTTGCAGTCTTTGCAGCAGGGACGTATATTCCTCAGATTCAATATCTGATGCAGTATATTCACCACGTAAAAGATCAAGATTGAGATCACTATCATCCCAAGATAAAAAATCAATGTTACTTGACATTGTGAATTGAAAAATGAAAATGCCGGCGATATTTTGGGAACATATATAATTTGTAGGGCTTATGTATGCTTTATGTATCCATTGCAGTTATCACCTCTTTGCTGATCAGTTACGTAAGGAAATTACTCATTTACCTTGAATGAAATTTTTTCTCTCTTCTGTGATCGCCACTTATTAAATTGTTTGCAAAAACTTGACCTAATTATCAGACCGAAATTTAAAAAAAAGTGGGGGGGGGGGGGGCTGTTGAAACTTGTTTGAAAAAAAAATTTACGTTGGATAATCTGAATGAGGGTCTGGATGGGGGTTCTTTATTTCCTATAATTTCTATGCCATTTTTCTCTATTCTTTAAATCTTAATTACTTATTATTTTCTCTTCTCTATTCTTTATTTGTCGGTCCAATTTTCTCCATTCTATACTTTTTTTGCCCCTATTTCTCCATTCTATAAAACCCCATCCACACCCTCCTGAATCCTACCACAAGTGCACCGACGATATTTGACAAGGTTTACTACAATAAACATGTATATTGGGCACTCAGCAGTGAAATACCTTACAAGTATAGAATAAAAGTTTACTGCAATAAACGGAGCCTCGTGTACCTTGGGCACCCAGCCGTGAAACAAAATTCATCTCCCATGCTTTTGAGACTACCTGTCTTTACAGGTAAAATATCTGTATATTAGATACAATTAACGGACGTGTAGCAAAACAATATAACTGTAAGATTGATAAGATTAATCACATTCACATTTTCAAGAGTGGCCGCATAATAACAAACTATTAACAAATTATTAATGATTAAAAACAAAAATTTAAATATGAATAGAGATAACTGCATTTGAAAGATAAAAACTATATTCTTTTTTTTTGGATTAATTCAATTTTGTTTTTAAATTATTTTTAAAAGAAAAATAATAATATCCGATACTGTTATAGTATTCTCAGTGATAGGTGATATATGTCGTCTGCTACGGTCGAATACGAAACTACGTTAAAATAACGTAGCTAACTACCGGAGACTCAGATAATCCGATAAATCTATAGTGACCAATCTCTGTGTTATAGTAGTCTCAGTTTGAGGTGAGGTAGTTGGTAAAGATTTTCACGGATATATTTAATAGGGTTTGATAAGGAATGAGGCGGCCAAATCAGAAAATTGCTTCGGACTCAGAATCCCAAAAGCATGAAAAGACTTAAAAGGGATTAGGAGAAGAGGGAGAATTAAAAATAAGGATATCCTGGAAAAGTTTCTTTGGCCGATTTTCGTCTCGGAGTTTAAGGGCTGAAATGGGAGTAGGTGGGGGTAGTAGGAACTTGGATCCGATCCCTTGTCCAACCGCTCGACATTCATATTATCCAGACATTGTTTATACATGAAAACAAATGATAATGAGTCACTGTCACAGTGTCAGTGGTTCAAACATTTTCAAATGATATGACAGTCAGACACTGGATGATATTTGTAAGGACAGCTGCTTTACTTAAATATTCTTCTTGTTTTTTCATCAGTCGAAACACCCCTTAACTCAAACGTAAGGTTTGCAGTTGCTTTTAAGGGATTTCGATGGAACCAATACGACATTCTCTGTGTTGACAGTTGTGAGCTATTGTGGCTCCCTCTGTACGCAGGAAGTGTTGAAAATAGTACAAACCGCTGACAGATACAACCACAACGGACTTCAATTACACATAAAAAAACCTTCTTAATTTGATTTTCGTTTAAAATCTTCATCCAGATCAGGCATATTGCTACTTCGGCAGAAATGTCATTTTACGTTTTGATTTTTTCAATAAAGACCCCTGTCAATTTTATTCAAACTACGGTTGTATATTATTAATTGAAATCAAGGACGTATTTAACATACGTCTAATATACGTCCTTGTTTGAAATACATATATGTCATCTAACTAATAAGCCACACTTTGTAAATGTGTATGCCTTAATGCTTCATAAAATTATTGCCGAACAGTTTGTTAGCGCTTTTAAAATCTCACAATTTCAATAATTATACCCCCCCCCCCCCCCCCCAAAAAAAAAAAGAAAAAGAAAATATAGTTTTATATCATGAAGTTCTACTGTATGTCAGATTAATTTGTGTATTATCATTTTTGTTTGTCGAAACTATAAGCGGTTTACATGAAGGAATCCCATTGGAAACAAGCTTCAGAGCTTTATGGGTTATCCCTGATAAAATATCAGCAATTTTTTTTCCGTACACAAAAGGTACTATCATGAGTCACCAAATGTTCTTTTTTATCAAGTATGTGTTAGTATACGTCTTTATGTATTGTATATTGTGTATCGTAAAACTTTTATACTTGATATTTTCTTGAATGAAATATTTTATTATTATAATTATAAATATAAAATTGTATAAATTTAATTATTTGACCTTTAAAGTCAGGGGTCATCTTCCATGGTGCGCGAAAAACTGCTTTTAAATCAATAAATACGTTACCATCATAAGTAAAACCTTCTTAATTTGATTTTCATCAATGAAAATAAAATACGTTACCATCATATTAAGTAATATGCGCAAGTCTGACAGGCGAAATCCCCAAATAAACTGTGAAATATCATCCAATGATAAATAAGGAATATCCTGTGTCCATAAATCCCTCTTTCATCCTTTCTTCCACCTACACAAGAAGACACACGTGTTTTTCTTTCACTATATACAGAGAAGAGTTTTTGTTTTTTGAGTAGTGTGATAATTGTGTAGGTATCCCCTATATCATTGTATATTGCTATTTTTGTTATTATTGTGTAAAACAAGTATTTAAACTTTGCAAGTATGGAGTTTAATATAGCTTGTCCGCTTGAAGCCATTACCGGCAAGGATGTTTTTTTCTAGATGGGTCGTTACCCTACCCTATGGCTACGACAACGTTAAATCAGGTAGTACCTCTTAATACCTAAAAAAAGTCAGTCAACAGACGTTTAAACTTCGGTGACTAGTAATACCGGTCAGCAGACTTTGAATGTCATGTCATGGTATAGACCTCCCCGACCTCAGATTTATCCTTATTCAGGTTTTCCAGGTCAGGCTTTTCCTGGTCAGGCTTTTCCAGGTTTCTGGCCTTATTGTTGTAATTATGGACCAATTACAACCCCTGTTGTTGGTCCTCAGACTGTTACTTCTAGTCTGTCAGTCCCTGCTCCTCATGTAGCAGTGTCATCTAGTTGTAGTGTGTCTGTACCTGCTCCTGTACCTACTTCTTCTGTTAGACCCTAGGTAAATCAAGTTTCTGACTCTGGCTCCTTCTTAAATGGGTTCTAGAGTATTCTAGACGACTTTCGTCAGTCTATTTTATCTGACTTGACGTCGTTCTCTAACCGCATTTGTACGTTAGAGAATAACGCAATAAGTCTAGCTCTCCAGTCATTTCACAACCTCCAGATCATAATCATGAAAGTGATCAGGAGGACAGTAATGAGGATGAACGCTTTTCAGTGGCACCAGGTAGTCAGAAAGAAGGTTTTTTTTTTCTGATGAAGAAGATGATACTCCAGTTCAGGGGTCTCAGAATATTTCACTACCTTCTGTTCCTGTTTCTATCAGTTCTTCTGAAATTGGTCGGTCTTCTACCAATTCCAGTAAGGATCTTGAGACTGAGGATACTCCTTATTTGAAGGACCTTAGAGATTCTGTTTACACTATTATGAGAGATGTAAACAAGGTACCTTTTCAGTCTCCACCTAGACCGAAAAGACTAACCTCTTCTTTCGAGACTTCCTGCTGTCTGTCAAGAGACGATATTAAGTCACATACTAGTTTTCCACAATCTAACCATATGTCGACATCTCTTCAGATCATCAATGACGGGATTGTGGCTAATGAGTCTCAATTTTCCAAAGTAAGTGGTTTTGGTCTTGCCACATTTACTGAGCATTTCCGTTCTAATGATTACGATATATTTGATTCTACTTTGGGTAAGTTGGTACCTTCTTGTGACAAGGCTTTATTGTCTTCAATTATTTCAAGACCTCCTCGTGGACTGTATTTCTAAGTATGTATGGTCCAAAACGGAGAATCTACTTAGAAATGCTTCTCATGTTTTAGATACTGAACGAACATTTTTTGTCCGCAGTTGCTCCTGTACTGAAGGACTCACTTCCACCCAAGGTCAAGCCTTTTTTTCTTTTACAGATTGACAAGGCTTTATGTGCCTCTCAGTTATTGATCATGGGTTCTGTAGCCAACTGTACCTTATCCAAAAGATCATAAAGTTTGGAGAAGGCAAACCTCTCAGATAGTCTCTAGGATGCTCTTATTAAGTCTCATTTAGACGATCAGAATTTTTGTTTGTCGCTTAACGAGGTTCAGAAGCACCTCAGTCAAACCCCTGCTCCAGTTAAGGTGAACGTTTCTCTCTCTGGTAATAGTTCCAAGCGAGGTAGTTTTTCTTCTGCTGGAGGCTCATCCTTTACTTCTTCGGAGAAGAGAAGGAAAGTGACTAGTGATATAGGTAATAAAGGTGGTCCCAAGAAGTCTTCAGTTCCTAAGTCTAAACGAGACAGAGAGGTGGAAAGAGGGTCATTTTTTTTCCATAGGAAGTTGCCCCCTCGTACGTTGCTATCAGAGATTTATTACACAACTCCTCTTTCCCAAATACCAGTAGGGGGAGGTTAACTCATTTTCTAAAAAAAAAATGGGCAAGTGTTACATCAGATTGTTGAGTTCTGTCAGTAATTCGAGGGGGGTCGACTCTTCAATTCAGAGAACCTCCTCTTTCGCATGTTCCTATCCCACTGTCCAATACTCAAGATCCACAGAAGTTTCTACTTCTCACTCTGTCGACCGAAGTGAAGACCCTTTTGAAAAAGAGGACAGTGGAGGAAGTCCCTGTATCTTCAATTATAGATCCAGGTTTCTCTTCCCTTCTCTTCCTTTTTCGAAGAAGACAGGAGGAATGAGTCCAGTCATCGACTTGTCAAGAAGTTGATCCTTTCCAAATCTCTGTACAGCAACTAGTAGACTCTCTGATCCACCTTTTTGAAGAGAAAAGTTCATCTCCTCTACCATTAAGGTTGGTGATCAGCTATTTCTAGGACTATTCACTTGTCTGGAGGTCCAGATTTGGTAATACCGAGTCCATTTCTCTTTTAGTTAAGAACTTCACTCTTGAACGCCCTAGGCAGAGGATTTTAATTCCGTCTTGGAATTTGAGTGTGGTTTTGTTTGCTTTAAAAACCCACCCTTTTGAACCGACCGAAAAGGTTGAAATCAAGTTCTTATCTCTTATCGTATAAGTGTTGTTTTTTTCTTGCCTTGTTTTCTGGTAGAAGAAGAAGTGAAATTCATGCATATTTTCTATTGCCGCCTATTGTCTTCGTTTTGATAGGGATAAGTCTTCGGTTTCCCTCTTTACCAATCAGGCCTTTTTAGCCAAAAATCAAATTCCTGGTCGAGGTTCAGAACCGATAGTGATTCCAGCCCTTCCTGGTGATTCAAGTTCAAAAGTGCTCTGTCCTATCCGAGCATTACTTTTATATCTTCATAGATCGAACTCGTAGTCTTCACATCTCCTCAAATTCCAGGTTATTTATTCCTATTAAAAAGGATAAACAAGATTTGTCTGTTAAAACTATTTCAACTTGGATCTGTAAAACTATTCAATCAGCTTACAAATCTTATAATGAAGAACTCTGCATAGAACTCACAATGGCAAAGTTGGCATATATAACTTGTGTATCTTTTCAGCTAGAACTGGATAATATCTCTTGTTTCCTGGAGCTTCAATAAAGAATTGTTGGTTGATCTCGGCTTTAACTTCAGTCAAAATAGAATCTGCCAAGTATGCAAACTCGTTTCGTGTTGACCTGCTTTGAAAATTTTCTTCAGTAAGAAAATCTGGGTTCTGGCTTTCTGTGAACAGTTGTAATGTTTCCTGGTCTGCAGTATACTCGCTGTCAATGCACATTTCCATCAAATCCATATCTTCTAATCCAAGCGATGAAATTTTCTGTTGTAGAATATTCATATATTCTATCATTTGTTGGTTTACTACTTTCTATAAAAGAATGCAATAAATAGCATGAATTTTTTCTAGTACTTCTGACAGTAAAGACGAGTTTAAGAAGACACTGAAACAGTACATCACAATTCAAAGTTTGACTTGTAGTTATCCAAAGAAACTTCCTTGAACCATCCCATTACATGAGATAAACATGCATGTGGAAAAATGGCACTTAAGTCTCCATCTTTAGCACACCCGTTGATAATTCTAAATGATCGACTTCTAAATGTATTAAGATCTTCGTTATTAAACTCCGACAGTGCTGCCTTTATAAAGATGAGACTTCTATCAATGTTAATTTGGTGAGGTATTGATGTGCTTGCATGACCATATATTTTTTTCTCATATCTTTTAAATTCAAAGAGCCAAAAGCGAACTAACGGAATGGAGGGACGATATCATGCTTGATACTGGTATAAACTGTTGTCCTGGAACTGGATTTGAACACGCCAACTCATAGTGGTAGTACTTCAATTGGTCATCTCTATGACTTAAAATACCAATGAACGATGCCAGATTTAGCAAGGTCATGCCAAATACGAACGCCATTTTCTGTCCAGTACATTATATATGGTGGCCAAATTGCGATGTGCTGTATGAAACCTAAC